ATATGATTAAGAAACCCCCAGCACTCCACATGCCCAAGCCTCCCAAGCTCCCACCACAAAAACAACCTAAACAACGAACAAATAAGTATATCATAATGAAAATGACTAACAGAGTGCTGGAGTACATCAAAGGAGTAACAGAAACCCAGGTGAACATAGGAACTCAGGATGGCCATACAGAGAACAGAAGGTAACACCTGGTCTCCAGCACCCCCTTCCCTAGCAGGGATCAGAATCAGGACGAACTTCTCCCTGTGGGGAAAGGCAAGCAAAACTATAGTCCTCACTCCAGTAATGAGGACTATAGTTGTTCAAAGTGTTGATCGGGGTACTTAAGCCCAGCTGAGGGAGATGCCTGTAGTCCACATAGCTGTTGTCCCACAGAGAAGGAGCTGACATTATGCTTTGCATCCTGGGGCCTATGTGGCTACTGTACAATGCCATCTTCAGACTGGAACTACTGTTTAAGTGTTGCTTGGGGGAGAGTACCCACAGTATCCCTTCATCTCTGAGGGTAAGCTGCTGCCAAAACACCCATGCCAGAAGCCTGACATCCCAGGCTGCGACTAGCTCTTATACCCTTCCCTGTGGGCTTAAGCAGTGGTGGAGCTCCTTCAGGCACCCCTCCTAGCCCCCACTCACAGCTAGAGCTCAAGCTGCGCACACATTCCCAGAGAAATGGCGCTTTGGAAGAACTGTTCCATCTATCAGTCATGCCTGCACCTGCTCCTAGGGGACTGAGCTGAAGCTGCACACTGCCTCTAAGGAAAATGATGCCCTGAAAAAGCTGTTCTAAAATCCTCTCACAGTCATTGCTACACTGTGCCTCTCTGGATCAGTACTGAAGCAACACAAGACATTCCAGGTAAATGGGGCTTTGAATGACAAGAGCAGTCATGCCCCTCTGTGTCTGAGCTGAAAAGATACACAGTCTCTTAAAAAAAAAAGAGTACCTTGGCCACCAACAGCAGTCATGTCTTCCCAGTGCCTATGCTGAAGCAGTGTCCTACCTCCTAGAAATGACCAATTACAAGTAACAAGATTGAATGAGTAATAAAAAGTCTCCCATCAAAGAAAAGCTTAGGACCTGATGTCTTTGCAGCAGAATTCTACCAAACATTCAATATCAGTTTTCTCAAACTCTTCCACAAAATTGAAGAGAGGGGAATTCCTCAAAACTCATTCTATGAGGCTAGCACTACCCTGATACAAAAACTAGACAAGAATACAACAAAAAAAGAGAAAATTATATGACAGAAAAATAAAACTATAAGCCAATATCCCTGATAAGAAAATATGCAAAAATTCTCAACAAAATACTAGCAAACAGAAAATCCAACAGCACATTAAAACAGTCATTACCATGATCAAGTGGAATTTATCACAGGAATACAAGGGTAATTCAACACATGCAAATCAATAAATCAGATACATTATATGAACAGAAAGAGGAACAAAACTCATATGATTACCTCAATAGACACACAAAATGCATTTGATAAAATTCAACATCCTTTGTGATAAAAATTCTCAACAAACTGAGTATAAAAGGAACATACCTCAACATAATAAAGCCACTATGCCAAACCGATAGCTAACATCATACTGAATGGGGAAAACTGAAAGCTTTTCCTCTAAGAATTAGAACAAGACAAGGATGCCCACTCTGACTACTCTTACTCACTTAGTGAATCCTACTAATTCTTAGCCAGAGCAATTAGGCAAGAGAAAGAAATTTTTGGTAAGGAAGAAATCAAATTGTCCCTCTTTGCAGATGACAAGATCTTGTACATAGAAAAACCTATAAGAAAAACTGAAAAGTTCTACCAAGAAACTCTTAGAACTGATAAACAATTTCAGCAAAACCATAGGATACAAAAATCAACATATAAAATTCTGTAGCATCTGTATACAGGAATACAAATAAGCAAAATAAATAAATAAATAAATTTAACTAGAGAAGTGGAAGACTTTTAGAGAAAACCAATAAAATACTGATAAAAGAAATTGAAGAGGACACACAAAAAAAGAAATACATTATGTTCATGGATTAGAAGAATTAGTATGTTAAAAATGATCATAGTAACAAAAGTGATCTACAGATTCAGGGTAATCTCTATAAAAATACTAATGACAATCTTCACAAAAACAGAAAAAAATTCATATATAACTACGAAACAGTCTGAATAGCCAAAGCAATCCTGAGCAAAAGGAACAAAGCTGAACGCCTTATATGACCTAATTTTCAAATATACTGCAAAGTTATAATAATCAAAATAGTGTGGTACTGGCATTAAAAACAGACACATAAGACCAAGGGTACAGAATAGGGAACCCAGAAATGAATTCACTTGTTTTTATCCATTTGCATATTGCTATAAAGGAATATCTGGGGCTGGGTAATTTATAAAGAAAAGAGGTTTATTTGGTTCACAGTTCTTCAGGCTGTACAAGAAGAATAGTGTCAGCATCTGCTTCTGGTGAGGGCCTTAGGAAGCTTCCACTCATGGCAGAAGGCAAAGGGGAACAGGCATCACATAGCAAGAGGAAGCAGAGAGAGAGAGAGAGTAGAGGAGGTGCCAGGCTTTTTTCAACAACCAGTTATCATGGGAACTAAGAGTGAGAACTCACACATTACCATGAGGATGTCACAAAGCCATTCATAAGGAATCTGTCCCCATGACCCAAACACCTGCCTTGAGATCCCACTTTCAAGATTTGAGTTCAAACTTCCACTTGAAATTTACAGAGGACAAATATCCAAAGTGACACCTCTGTATAACATGAGTTGGCTATAAATATCCCCATTCCTTTATAGCCAACACATGTTATACAGAGGTGTCAAGGACAGTCACTGGTGAAAGGACAGTCTCCTCAATAAATGGTACTGAAAAAGCTAGATATCCATATGTGGGAGAATAAAAGTAGACCTCATCTTTCATCATATACCAAAATCCACTCAAAATAGATTAACACCTTAAATGTAAGACCCAAAACTATAAAACTACTAGAAGAAAATATAAAGGGATTGTTTCCAGACATTGGACTGGGCAAGTTTTTATGAAGACCTTAAAAGCATAGACAACAAAAGCAAAAATAGACAAATAGGATTATATTGAACTAAAAACCTATATAGCAAAGGAAATAATCAACAAAGTGAAAAGACCATCAGGAGAAAGAGAAAAAATATTTGCGAACTATTCATCCAACAAAAGATTAATATACTGAATACACAGGGAATTCAAACAACTCAACAGCAAAAACAAATAAGTAGTCATCAGGAAATGCAAATCAAACCCACAATATCTTCTCACCCTAGTTAGAATGACTATTATTTAAAAGTCAAAAAATAAACATAGTAAGGATGCAAAGAAAGGGAAACTCTTATATACTGTTGGTAGGAATGTAAACTAGTATAGCCATTATGAAACACAATATGAAGTTTTCTCAAAAACTAAATTAGAGCTACTATAGGATCTAGCCATTTCACTGCTGGGTATATATCCAAAAGAAATGAAATCAGTACAGTGAAGAGATATCTGGACTTACATGTTTATTGCAGCACTAGTCACAATAGCCAAGATACGGGATCAACCTAAGTGTCCCATCAACAGATGAAGAGGTAAAGAAAATGTGGTACATATATATGATGGAGTACTATTCAGCCATAAAAAAAAAATCTTGTCATTCACAGCAACATGGATGAACTTGGAGGACATTATATTTTAAAAAATAAAGTAGGCACAGAAAGACAAATATCATATGTTCTCACTTATATTTGGAAGGTAAAAAAAAAGGTGGTCTCATAGAATTAGAGAGTAGAATAGTGGTTACTAGAGCCTGGGAAAGGTGTATAGCCAGAAATTGGTTAATGGATGTAAAATTACAGTTAGAAAACAAAAATAAGTTCCTTAGTTCTACAGCACTGTAGGGTGATTATAATTAATAACAGTTCAAATAGCTGGAAAAGTAGATTTTGACTGTTCCTAATACAAAGAAATGATAAATGTTTGATGTGATGAATATACTAATTACACTAAGTTGATCATTAAACATTATATACATGGATCAAAATATCACACAGTTATATCACACTAAATATATATAATTATGTGTCAATGAAAAAATAATAAATATAATTAAAACATTTCTTTAAAGAAATCTGAAGCTGAAAAACCAAGGCTAAATGGACTTAAATCTTAGTAGGTGTAAGCAAATATAATCCTTTTCTGTGAGAATTTACCCTTAATACAAGTCCCACAAGATTTACACAGATTGATGTAACCCTAAATGAATTCACAGTGTAAAATTACAAAACTCACAGGAAAATAAGTGACCAGAAATAAAATTAACAGAAAAAACAAACAGCAGAATTATACCTCCATGAACATTAAGTATTAGAAATAACAAATACAAAATATAAAATAACTATTAACTATTAGAAATAACAAATATAAAATATAAAATAACTATGTTTAAAAAAGTATAAGGAAGAAACAGAAAACAAACCAAATATAATTTCTAGCAAAGAAAAATATAACCATTTAACTTAAAACCTACCAATAAAACAGTATTTCTCAAACAATATTTTAAACAATTGAAGAAAATGATTATGAATTGGACATTAGATCATTAAATTTTGATAATATTTATTAGTTATGATAATGGTGTTGTGATTATTTAACATATCAATATTTTTTAAATATGAGTACTAAAATATGACATGTTACCTGGGATTTTTTTTTTTCCAAAATATGTCAGGAAAGAAAAAAACAGTAATAAATAAAACAAATGTAGAAAAATCTGAGAAATATTAAATCTAAGTGGTGTGTGTATATATATATATATATAATTTTCATAATAAAAATAAAATGAAAACTCAATTGATAGTATAATCAGAATGTTAGATAAAACCAAAGAGAAGTTTATAGAATTAGAAGACAGATCTTGAAGACTGTATCCAAATTGTGAATAAAACTTAAAGAAAAAAGAAAACTCACCTTCCTTAGGACTGACTGCTGCAGGGAGAACATTCCAATCAAGAGTCCAAGTAGGGCAAGGGTGGGGAGAAAATATCACTTCAATGCCCTTTTCCTAGAAAAGAATATAGCCTCTTTCTAAATTAAGGAATTAATATAGTCTTAACTATATTCTTAAAGGCTAAAAAATTACATTTTTATATTGCTAAGGAGGAGCATAAATAATAATCTTCAGCTATTCCCCAAAATATGTATTTTAATTAAATAAAATACAATGTGTTGAGTATTTTGACATCACAGTTACTTTCCTATTTTTATACTGAGATAATAAAAAGTAATGCTATTTTAAAATGATTACTAGAAAATCCATAGAAGTAATAAGCTACCTAGAAGTATACTGGATATCAAAGACTAAAAAAAAAATTTTATCAAAAACAATCCACATGGAAATAATAAAAAAACACTGCATGTGTCCATCAAGGTCTCTCTTTACATATATGAAAACCGCCACAGTCTATAAGCTATATTTGTAGTACTAAAAGCTACCACTTTAACACATACCCCAAAATACCACTCATACTAGTCTTTTTTAAGTGCCTTTAATGTCACCAGAGAAAACTTCCTCTGGTTTAACCAAATGTTCCCCATATTTTCAAGAATAAGGAAATATATTCAATATATTAAAAATTTTCAGGCTTCTTCGCCATCTTAGAAGCTGTACATTTGTTTATTTGATTTAGGTACCGTGACATGGCATATGCATGGAATCACAGACCCCTTCCAATCACATTCTTGGTACACATTCCACAGTGTGTATATATCCATGGCTCAGTTATTTTTATCTTTAGAAATAACCTATTCAAATAAAAACTCTCTGACACTTCAGCAATAAACCCTTTGTATCAGTATATGAGATTACTTTCCATTATGAAAACTAGCTGAATTTGTGTCCCAAAGGAAATAATACACCAAATCTTTCATTAGGGCTAGAGATATGGCTATTGGCCCACAAGCCCAGAGCATTCATTTGCTTCCAGAAAGATAAACACATCTCTCTGACGTCATCTACCTCTCTTCTATCTTCTTCAATCCAGCCATACTGACTTTCTTGCTATTTCTCATTTCATTAAACTTATTCTTACCTTAGGATCTTTTAAAAAACACAACTATACTGAGATATGATTTACATATTAATACCATACAATTTACCCTTTTAAAGCATCTAATTCAGTGGTTTTTAGAATATTCACAATTTTTCAACTATCGCTACTATTTTAAGATATTTTCATCATTTCCAAAAGAAGTTCCATATCCACTCAAGAAGTGAACCAGAGATCCCGTGGCAGTATAGTCATATAATGAAGACACATCAAAATCTAGACATGCCTCAATCACTTGTAAAATCAACTATATAATCATGTTTCATTACTTAATCAATAGGCCACAGAGCTTAGCTGAAGAGTTAAGGGACTGGTATTCATACCAAAGTTTTCCTGTGCATTTATAAATCAGTAAACTCTGTTAAGTATAGAACTCAAATACTTCCTAATCCAAATAGGGAAATATAATGAATATTTTTCCAGTGTAACTTTGATGGATAACTTAAGTTACTTCATGAATTCTCTATTCAAATAAATCTTCACAGCATCTATTAAAAGTAAAATATTTTTGCAGATTGTTTCAAATGTTAGGGAAAGGAAAGCCAATTGTTGAAAACTATACAATTGGCACTACTGAAAACAAACTATGCCCCAATGAGAAAATAAAGCATATGCATTTTTTTTTTGGAAACAGAGTCTTACTCTGTCACCCAGGCTTGTTGTATAACAAAAACACTAAAAGCAAAGATTAAAGTAAAAATAAAATTCAAAGAATTCCAAAATTACAAATTTAAACAACTTTAGAAAGTCAATTGAGATATTCATCTTTATATTTCTTTTCTTTTCTTTTTTTTTGAGACAGAGTCTCACTTTGTCATCCAGGCTGGAGTACAGTGGTACAATCTTGGCTTACTGCAACCTCTGCCCTCCTGAGTTCAAGCTATTCTGGTGCCTCAGCCTCCCCAGTAGCTGAGACTACAGGCTCATGCCACCACACCCAGCTGATTTTTGTAATTTTAGTAGAGATGGGGTTTTGCCATGTTGCCCAGACTGGTCTGGAACTCCTGACCTCAAAGTAGTCCACCTGCCTCAGCCTCCCAAAGTGCTGGGATTACAGCTGTAAGCTATCAGGCCAGCCTCATCTTGATAATTCTTTAACTTGAAATCATTACCCAAGCTAAAAAAGGCTGAGACCAAAACTTTACAACAGAAAAAGATTATGTGAAAATTGTACACTTGACCAGGTATGATGCTACTTTGGTCAATATCCTGAATATTAAAAAAAAAGTTTTGAGAAAAGTGCTTTTTACAATTATATATTGTGACATACTTGGCTCCAAAAATACATAATACTAAAAGTTTTCAATTCAGTAGACTTCACATAAATGAAAAAAGTAGCAGAAATATTAACTGGTAAAGAGTGAAGTAAGCAAGCTACAAATAAAAGTTATAACAAAAATAATGTCAACAAATGATTATAAGTTGGAGTAGAATGCTCAGCAACATTATCACATAGAATTTTTCAAAGAAAATTTTAACAAAATAATTAAGTACCATTAACTTGGCCATGGTTGGTCTTGGTCCTCCTATAAATAAAGGATCGTTTTGTTCTTCTACACCTGGGACTTCACTTAAGTTTGGATGCTGTTCAGTTGAGGTTGTCAACAACTCTGGTAAATGGAGAAATTGGATCCCACACTTAGAAGCTGCTGTTTTCACTCTTGGCACTTCCTGAATCCTCTGGTACCAAGAGGCTAGCAACGGAAATTCTGCCAGCTTCTCAGAAAATTTCTTGCAGATAATTACCTAGGTAGGAAAATAATAAAACACATTATTATATCTTTTTTTGTTTATAACAGCTATGTTGAGATAACATCACAAACCACAAAATTCATATATTTAAGTGAATAGTTCAAACAATGAGTTGTAGTAAATATATGTAGTTGTGCAACTACCACCATCTAGTTCTAGAATACTTAAGTCACCCCCAAAATTTCCCTTCTGACCATTTGCAGTCAATCTCTGCTCTCACAGTTAGTTGCAGAGAACCACTAATCGGCTTTCTGTTTGTAGTTTTGTCTTTTCTAGAATTTCATACAAATGGAATCATGAAATGTGTTTTTCTTTTATCTCTTAGTATTATGCTTTTGAAGTTAATCCTTATAGTTGCATTGACCAATCATTCGTTTATTTTTATTATGAGTAGTAGTCATTATGTAGATATATTTTGTTTATTCATTCACTGGTTGATAGACATTTGCATGTTTCCAGTTGTTGGCTATTAAAAATAATATTGCTATACATTATGATGTAGCAGTGTTTATGTAGAACTGTTTCTCATTTCTTTGGAAATCTAAGAGTCAAGTTGGTAGGTTGTATGGTAAGTGTATATTTAACTTTTAAAGAAACTGCCAAAATCTTCTCCATGGTTGCCATACCATTTTACAATTCCCATAGCAATCCATGGAGGTTCTAGTATCTCCACAACTTGCCAATACTTGGTATTATCAGTCTTATTTTAGTCATTCTTGTGGGTATGTAGCAGTGTCTCATTGTGATTTTAATTTGCATTTCCCTATGATTAATGATGTTGAGCAACTTTTCATGTAATTATTTGCCATTTGTATATTTTTGTTAGTGATGTGTCTTTTATGTTTTTATCATTCATTTTATAATATGAAAGTTGGAGAAACTCAGCAATGAGAAAATGAACAACAATTAAAATAAGCCTTACCAAAAAAAAAATACAAAGATGGTAACTAAGTATATAAAAAAATGCCCATCATCACATATCATTAGAGAATTACAAGTCAAAACAAGGAAATGCAACTCCACACTTAACAGAATGGCAAAAATCCAAAACACTGACAACACCAAATGATGGTGAGTATGTGGAACAACAGGAGCTTTCATTCATTGCTGGAGGGAATGCAAAATAGTACAGCCACTTTGAAAGTCAGTTTGGTAGTTCCTTACAAATGTAAATATACTCTTACCATACAATCCAGTAATTGTGCTACAAATGAGCTGAAAATTTATGTCCACACAAAAACCCTAACACAGATATTAATAGCATCTTTATGTATAATTGCCAAAACTTGGAAGTAACCAAGATGCCCTTCAGTAGATCAAAGGATAAACTGGTACATCTACACAATGAAAAACAACAATCAATAGAAAAAGAAGAATATAATAATTCCAAAAAGAATCAATATAAATAACAATGGCATTTGCAAATAGCTATAAGTAGTACAACTGAAACTCATTCTGAAAAGCTTTACATCTTGTATTCAATTGTCTATCATCTTTCATTGGTAGTACGTTTTTAACCTCTCGAAGAACTCCTCTTCTCGACCCTCAATATACTTGATAAGTTCTTAAAACACTGCATATAGACAGTTAACTGAACAACATTATATCAAAACCCTAAAATCCTTAACATATTCTTATGCAAATAAGTTTAAGTGGCTAATGGGGAAAGTATTAAAATAAGTATTAACTTCTTCAAAACAAATAATGTAATACTTAAATTATCACAATTTAATATCTGTAGCATACAATCATTGATGCATTTTGATGGGTCTCAACAGAAATTTTGCAGCTTACTGCAGAAGTGTAAAAATTGAGAGCTTGTATTATTAATAGTGATCTAAAGTTTCATTTTGAGTGTGTGTGTGAAGCTATCTTCTCTGTTTGTGTTAACTATTAGGCAGAATCTAAATGACGTTCCTTAAAAATAATGTAAGACGCACCCTTAAGAACCATATTTTTAAAAAATGACACAATGAGGTAAGGAGAACATTTTACTTAAGTAAAATTGTAAAAAGATAAAAGAGAATATTATAAATATTTAAAACTAAAAAAAATAACTAGCACTGTTTATAAGATTTTTTTTTTATAAAGCAGCCCTTAAAATAAAACATTTTTTCAAATTAGAAAAAAATTTAAATTGTTCCTCCTGATACAAACTCATATATTTTTGCTTTCTCTTGGTCAGATGCCTTCTCCCTTGCACTACCACCAAACTCCATTTTCTTTAATATTTAGAGTGTTCTTGCTTCTTTGAGAGGCAATAAATATTGTTACCATAGAAACCATTATAATGTCACAAACACATTATGACATGAATATGAACAGATAGATAAATAAAAAGGTCAAGTAACAGGAAATCTCTACAAATATATCTAACAATAATACCAAAGCATGAGACAGAAAGGACAGAAAATTAAAAATTCATATATATATGAATTATATATTATATATATATTTTATATATATATATTAAAAAAACTGTATTTTAAGCAGACTTTAAGATAAAATGAGCACAAGTAATTGATTATAAGAACAAGGACTGTATCTAACTCTTTGAATACTAAAGCACTTAAAACACTGCCTTGCAAATACTCTGTTGAATGAATGAACAAATGATCAAGAATCCATTTATTATCTTCAGAGAATAGCCCTCTCAGTTAGTATTTTTCAAACTGCTATTTATCACTCATTTGGGGAAGTGAAATCAACATAGTAGGTTTTTTAAAAATGATATATAAAATATCAGAGTATACATCGTATAAGTTATTTTGCAATTATTTTTTTATATATTATTTTAAAATATACATTTATTTGTACACTTATTCAATTTGTAAAATGTATTACAGTTGTCCCTCAGGGTCCATGGAAGATTGGTTCCAAAACCTCTATCAGATACCCAAATCCATGGATACCCGTATTCTAGTCCTTGATATAAAAATGGTGTAGTATTTGCATGTAACCTATACACATCCTCCTCTAGGTTATTTCTAATACCTAATACAACATAGACACTATGCAAATAATTGTTATTCTGTATTGTTTAGGGGATCATGACAAGAAAAAAGTCAGTATGTGTTTAGTACAGATGCAATTTTTTTCCCAAATATTTTCAATCTGCGGTTGGTTGAATACATGAATACAGAACCCATAGATACGGAGGGCCATCTGTATTTACTGAGTTAAAGTAAAAAAAAAGTTTGAAAAATATTCTACATGTCACTCTAAGAGCCAAAAAGTTTATTAATTCCTTCCACAATTCTTAATTGCTTAGAAATAGATTAGATGCTAAGGGCATTCCGTTAGACTGGATCTTTAGACATGATAATCACACCAGAAACGTTCTCTTTTCCTCATTTTTCCTGTACTCTTTTTTTTTTGGTGACTTATTCTTATTTGTTAGATGTACATGGCATCCTTCCTTTCTTTTGAAACTAAGTTGTGATTAAATAACAATAATTCACATTTAAAGAAATTGAGGAGGTTTACCCTGTGTGACGGGTCACTCCATTTAATCAACATGCCAGACCACTCTAGTAATATTCAGATAGCTCAGAAGGTACTGAACCACATTCATTACACTTATGAAGATATATTTAAGAAAGTTGCTAATGAAAACTATATGAAATGAAAGTTAAATTTCTTCTTAAGAAATGATTACCAAATAGTTACCTCGCTTATCAGATCAAAACCATTATAAATATCACAGAGTTCTTTAAGGACAAGAAAAAAAAGATAATTTTATTAAGACAATGGTTTAAAAACTGTATTGCTACCAAAGCAAAAATAAAATTTTAGTTACTCTAGTTAACTGTCAAAAACGGGCAGAAAAATTTGTCAGAATAAAAAGAGAAGCAAGATGTTCCATCTATTCAAAATATCTCCTCCTTTGCATTCCTTTACAATCTCTTATTATATAAAATATTTTATTCATATTTTATATCATTTCCTTAGTCATACCTACTTTTTTGAAAATATACTTCACAGATGTTCAGGTGAGCAGTGTAAGCACAGAAAAAATCATAAGTAACATATCTAAATGGAAATATAATCCCAGCTCTCTGTTTCTTACTTATAAATTAGAACTAGTGAGTTAAAGCTAAAAACTCTTGAGGACCTAACACCTAATGCATAGGAGAAGACATAGAAAAACAAATTTACCACTAAATAAGTGGCATCCACCATTTTTGCAATATGCCAGCAAAAAGTGAGATCTCTATTTTGTTCCCAATTTTACGCCAATGGGAACACTGGCATAAAAGAGGTATTTAGTTTTGCTAAAAAATCAATTTCTAAAAGAGGAATGATTTTACCTAAGCTAATAAAGTGTGTGTGTGGTGTGGGGGGGTGTATTTAATTCAAAGCATTAGAAGTTAAAATGTAGAAAATTAAATCATAAATGTTAAAATTACAAAAAGATTTCATAAAATGATAAAATGCAAACTTTCTGTCTTATAGAAGTACAATTATGTTTTAAATAGTTCTGTCAAAGTGTACCTGCTTACTAGTAGCAATTGAAAAATAATATACAATCTTCTATTGTCAGAATAGTAGGATTTTGCCCTCATATAGCTATTTATTACTACTTCTCGCATGTGCTTGATATACTATCTACTAGAAAGATTCCTACAAATGAATTAAAGAGGGGAAAACATGAGTGTACATATTAATTTATTCCTTTTAAATCTATTTCTAAGACTTTTCAGAGGAGAGGATATTGTCAGGCCCCTTCCATTATGAGGTGCTGGGCCATCAGGGTTAACTTTATAAAGTTATAAAGTATTTTCTGAAAAGGAAGAGCTTGAAGCAAGTTTATACCTAATACCTTAGCCCTTCCATGTTTGTCTCTGGCAAGTTAAAAAAAAAACACCTTATCCATTCTATTTGTTATGTTTTGTATCTTTGGTTTTATTCTGTTTAGCAGAACTGGGTATTTTCCCTAGTTCTTCTAAATTTTGACCCGGGTAATCCAAACCTTGACTATGCAAAATTGACTCTTTACTTTTTTATGTCCTTGACTTTTTATTCCTGTGACTAACTATTCTGTCCCTGGGTTCAGTTTTATGCTTTTGGTAACTTGACCTTGATTACTGATTATGAACTTAATCCTGATTCTGATCATTTGGATGGCCACTCCAATCACCTCAATGTATGTTAATGCAAGCAAAAAGGCTTCGCAACATAACCACTACAGGAATTAAAATGACTGCTTTATTATCCACGATGACTTAAAGGAGAAAACTATAACAAATATCAAGGCTTTAGCAAAGATAGATGAATCTCTGAAAGAAAATATGTTAAATCAAGTAAAAATACAAAGGAACAAAGGAAAATATTTTGAGAATTTGCATATTCATATAATTTCAATAAATTCTTTAATAAATGAACGGATATGCCACTTTCACTCAATTCTGATGAAAATGGAAACACAGTTATCCAAAGAAGTCAAGAAGACAGAAGACCAAGTACTTCATAATACATTAAATGACTGCTCTAATGACTCAACCTGGTAATAGAGGAGAGGGATAAGGGAGAAGAATCAAGAAATCATTTGACTAGGAAAAAAACTTAAAAATCAGTATCTTCTTCCCACTCAACTCCATGGTCTTTATAAAGACATACGACATTTGGCATTTAAAATACCAATCAACATCTAAACAATTCCTGGAAATCCCAACTTTGTAGGTTGTTTTGGTTGCCAATTTTGTGTCAATTTTGACGAAAAGAGAAATGTTCTTTAAGAAAAGACAATTGATCAATACTGCCTAGTTACTAATGAAGCAGGGCCTTCAAATACATAGATTTTTGTTAGAAGTCTCTTCTGACCGTAGAGATACCTGAATTGCTGGTGATATATAATGAGGATAAAATCTAATATCTGATTCCTTAGTAAAGAAAAGGGTAAAATGTTTAAAACAAAAAAAACAAAACAAAACAAAACAAAAGCAAAAACCAGTGTAGCTCTTGAAAAGCAATTAGAAGGCTGCAGAGAATTAAGCTTTCTATGTTCACTCTGGTATTATTTTCATCCTGTTCTTTTTATCTCAACGGAGGAAGTGTGTGTATGTGTGTGTGTGTGTGTGTGTGTGTAAGACAGAGAGACAGAGAGAGAGATCTTCCTACTCAGAAAACATTCTATCTATTCTCCCCCAGCACATAACAGCAGAGCCAGCTATTTTAATCTCATAGAGAAAAGAAAAGTACACAGATCAGAAGAAAATATTTTCAATTTGATAATATCTAACCTGAGATTAATTTAGGGACTAATAATTATAAAATTTAGCTGATAAAAGTTTTAGTTATTTTTTTTTAAATACTGGACCCTCTAATAGTAGAAGTCCAATGTGCTATCCATTGTACCACAGAGCTGGCTTGGACGTTCTAATATTAGAAAATAATCACAAATTTGAAATTAATAACAATTGTTAACATTTTAGCAACTTCACATTAAAAGTTATAGTAATCACTAACACTGATTGAGAGCTTACTATGTTCCGAGCACTGTTCTCCATACTTCACACAAACTTTAGTTTGCTCCTTACATTTTTCCTATTAGATAGGTACTATTATTATCTCCATTTTACAGATAAGAAAATGGAGAAAGATATTAATAACTTGTCCAGCAGCATACTGACAATAAGAAGTAGAACTGAAATTCAAACCAAGGCAATTTCATAGACTGAAACTCATAGTAACGTATACAGTTCAGATAAAACCTTACCAAGAAATGATGGATACAGGGCAATAGCACGATATCTGCCAGAGTGAAGTAAAGCCCTTCTGCAAACACATGCTCCAGAGGTGGCAGGTCGGAGGCTTTTGCTTTTCTGATGTGAGACGGCTCTCTGTTGGTAGTAGCTGGTTCTTCCTGTACCGTGAGCTTTGAGAATGCCACTTTCAGTTCCATACTCTTGGATGCAGAGTCCAGCTCTTCAGATGTTTCCTGTGTGTGGACCTTGCTCTTTGCCTTTCCCTTAGTAAGAGGAGGCCCAGCTCCATCAGCCTTCTGTTGCTTGAGCTTCTGCCTGCGGAGTTTATCATCATTATGCACTCTAACAGGCTCACTAAGCTTTTTCTCTAGCTGTAGTATTTCTACTGGTATAGTTGGAGGCTGGTCAGAAGACTCTCTGAGAAAATTCTCAATAGCCAAAGGGATGGTAAGTTCACATAGCCTGGTCCACTGACTAACCTACAAAACAAAAGCAAAACAAGAAATGAAAGGTTTTTTTAATTTCAACATAACTTGAGAAAAATAACTGCCTTATTGGGAAATAAGCTTAGAGCTAAATCATCCCTAGGCTAGGCTTTTATGCTATATCAAGAGATACATCACAGTGCTTCGGAATTAAAAACATTAAGCAAAGGAGGTTTAGCATTCCTATATTCCCCTTACGAAATAAATCATTACTTCCCAAAGCCTTTAAAATACACCTTCCCTGTCCTGCCCCCCTCGAGCCCCTACAAAAAGCAGGGCTTCCAAAGCATTGCTATTTGAGTTCCTGTTTATATGTAAACATTCCATTTAAAATTCCTCAACATAACTAAAATAAAGAAAAAATAATTTATTCTCTAAAAATGTCTCCAAATTTTATAAATTAAATCTTAAATTCTTATTTTTCAATACTGCACTGAAATATTGCACACATAAAGAGTATATTGGCCCATTTTTCATTGCTGTAAAGGAATAGGTGAGGCTGAGTAACTTATAAAGAAAAGACGTTTATTTGGTTCATGGTTCTGCAGGCTATACAAGAAGCATCTGCTTCTGGTCAGGACCTCAGGAAGCTCTTAGTCATGTTGGAAGGCGAAGGGAGAGCAGGTGCAGGTGTGTCATATGGGGAGAGAGGGTTTAAGAGAGAGCAAGGAGGAGGTACCAAGCTCTTTTTGACAGCTAGATCTCTCCTGAACTAATGGAACAAGAACTCACTCATCCCAGTGAGAGCACCAAGCCATTTAAGAGGCATCTGTCCCCAGGACCAGAACACCTCTTACCAGGCCCCACCTTTAACAACAGTGGGGATCACATTGCAACAGGACATTTAGAGGGGATAAATATTCAAACTATATCAAAGGGTTACTTTAGTTCATTGGTTACTGTGGGTTTTTTTTTTTTTAATAAATGAACTTTTGTTCCTAATAGGAAGTTAAAATATTAAATGGTCAAGTATCACTGTGTAGCTTCAAATAACAGAAAAGAGACATTATACTTACTTCAGCACAGGCTTTCAAGCAAGTCTTTTTAAAGCCCAGAAGTTCCAAAAGTTCCTTCTTTAAGGGGTCTGCTTCATATGATTTCTGGATTATGTGTCTTAATACAACAGCAAGTCCTGCTCTACAAAAATTGTCTGATCGTTCTAGTACTGCAGGCAAACAGCAATTCTGGACTATTGGTGGGAGCTCTTGCCTTGAAATAATCTGTATTTCAACATCTTGGATCAGATCATCTCTTAGTAGTAAACTATCTGTACTCACTTCTTTGGTGACAACTAAGCAAATTTTAAAGATTTTGCAGTCACAGTAAGATAACAGAAATAATGTTACAGATGTATGAAGAGGAAAGATGCATCCTTTTGTTTGGTGAGAAAAGTCCAGATACAGGTATTCTTCTTCTGTAAGACTTTTTTTGATGGCTTTCATTTTCTATTGTTATTGGATCACCTAAAATATAAATTGAAGTGATTATGGTCTTAGAATATAATCATTTACAAGCTAAAATAAAAGATAAATGTTTTAAAAGCCTGTTCTAGAAATCAGTAAAAGTTTGCAATAAATAATGATGCTATGAGATTTGTTTTGGAAGACCAAATGTCTTCCAAAAAAAAAATTTCACCCTGTGTAATAACAGCCTTAGAGGAAATTTGACACCCAGCTCCTTTAAAATGAGCGTACCTCAGTGCTTTGCAATAAAGCCTTCCCAATCAAGTAGTTTGGAATCTCATGATAGGTAAGAACAGGAGATCAATAGAAGGGGAAATAAATCAACCAAGAACACTGAGAGCTGTCTAGGGATAATGTCCTTGAGAAGTTTTGACAGTGTTCATCCTTCCATACTGCTTCTTTTTTAAGCCCCTGCAAAATAGTAGGGAGGGGATATTCATTCTTTCAGGAGAAGTGTATTCTTCTCAAGTAAGTGATAGCTGTTGAGTGCTGAATATAAAAATATAAAAATTTCTCCATAAAAGATACTGATAGCTGAGATATCTTACAATTAACATGTCCAAAATCTAGTTCCTTATTCTCTTCCACCCCTCAAAGCTGCTCCTTATGTGTCTTCCCCATCTCAGTTTATACCATTCTTTTTCTTCACACCCCCATAACCAAACCCTCCAATGTCTTCCCATCCTCCTAGAGAAATGCCGAAATTTATACACCGGCCTACAAAGATCTCCTTGATCTAATCCTCCTTTATGTCCCTGAGTTTGTCTCATTAACTCTCTTCATTGCTCAGTGCTCCAGCCAAAGTAGATTGTTATTCATCTAAAACAGCCATCCCCAACATTTTTGGGACCAGGGACCAGTTTCATAAAACACAATTTTTCTATGGGGGTTGGTGGGGGCATGGGGACGGTTTCCAGATGAAACTGTTCTGCCTCAGATCATCAGGCATTAGATTCTCATAAGGAGCACGCAACCTAGATCCCTTGTGTGTGCACACATGTGCAGTTAATAGGGTTGGAACTCCTATGAGAATCTAATGCCGCTGATCCGACAGCAGATGGCGTTAAGGCGGTAATGCTGGCTTGCCTGCCACTCACCTCCCGCTTTGAGGTGGGATTCCTAACAGGCCACAGACGGGTACTGGTCCTGGGCCCAGGGATTAGGGGACCCCTGCTAAAACACTAGATACATTCCCACATGAGGGGCTTTGCACTTGGTGTTTCCAGTACCTAGATCACTTCTTCACTTCCTTCAGGTATTTATTTATTCAATGGCAACTTCTTACTGAGATCCTCCCTGACTACTGGATTTAAATTGCAAACCCCAATCCCTGCTCACTGAAAAAAAAAGAAACTTTCTATTTCCATATATGTTTTTTCTCCATAGTGCTTACTGCTATGGTGATATACTATACTTCCATTTTTTTTTTTTTTTTTTTTTTGAGACGGAGTTTCGCTCGTGTTACCCAGGCTGGAGTGCAATGAATGGCGTGATCTCGGCTCACCGCAACCTCCGCCTCCTGGGTTCAGACAATTCTCCTACCTCAGCCTCCTGAGTAGCTGGGATTACAGGCACGCGCCACCATGCCCAGCTAATTTTTTGTATTTTTAGTAGAGACGGGGTTTCACCATGCTGACCAGGATGGTCTCGATCTCTTGACCTCGTGATCCACCCGCCTCAGCCTCCCAAAGTGCTGGGATTACAGGCTTGAGCCACCGCGTCCAGCCCAGAGGTCGGATTCTTCATGGCTACTTTCAAGTCATATTCCTTAAGGCTTTTATCAATTGTTATGACTTTTTATGTTTAATGTATACATTTCCTAGGTCCAAAATTCCCAATGTTCTAATCCATAAATTACAATTACAAAACTGACACTAGATGGCACTCTAAAAGCATTCACCATGGAAATACATACCAGAAAGATGACATATTAGAAGGAAAATTACTTTAAAAGCTTTTAAAAGTATATATGCAACTCTTGTTTTTTAAGTGCATTCAAAATGTTAGTGTACACTTAATTTTAGAAAACCTTCACCATACTAAATTTTCTTTTTTAAAATTCATTTTTTTTAAAAAAAATCCAAAGAGCTAAACACTTGAAGCTTCTTACACCTTTATGTTAAAAAGAGTCAAACAAAGTGAGGTCTGAAACAACAGTAGGGCAAAAAGAAACTACCACACTTTCCAGGAATTAACAGTCTTTTTGAGGAGTTTGCTATGGACTCACTCTCCTGACAGTAAGAAAGTAAAAAGAAGACCCCGAAGTGTTTCAAGACAGCAGATTTGAAAAACATATGACTGATTTCATCATTTGCCCAGCAGTATAAAATATAGTAATTATGAGGCTCATCCTAACACTTTTTAAAAACTGGAAACAAAGCCATGCTATTTAATAGCTTTTAAGATACACAGAAATATTTTTTAAAAATTAAGTACATCTATATTTGCCACTTTGCAAAGCACATAAGAATATGAAAATAGGGTTTTAGACATATTCTATAAACTCTTACTATTAGCACTTAATAAAATGCTAAATGTCAGCAAAATAGCATACCAATAACTTGCCCATGGTGATACTAAAAACTGATGAGACGCCTGAGAGAAACTGCAATAAAGTACTGTTGATTCTTAAGATATATTTTTTAATATAGATATTGGTTTTTCCCCTGGTAGATTAAAAATGTCACTTAATAATCTTAGAGTAAAAAAAAATTACTTTCCTTGAGTAATGTCTCCCTATTATGTACTAATGTAATTTTTAAAAAATATTAAGTATTTAGTAAACCGTATAAATGTGATGTTTTTGGCTTACATTGTGCCTTTTTTAGAGACTAGAACACAGTATTTGCTCCAAGTATGCAAATACCACAGAAAAAAAAATCCCTCCTCTTTTTTCTTTTCTAGCTTGAGAATGCCTTAGTTCATTAATTTTATGTCATGAGCTTTAAGAAGGTAGGTACTATAGAATAAACTTCTGTCTCTAGGGCTTCTGGAGAACGGCTCTTGTAACTCCATATTGCATTCCTGCCACAGAAATAGAGTGATTTGCTCTTTCTCGGGTTTGATAGGTGCCACTCTGCAGAGAGAGAGTGAGAAAGTTGCAGACAAAACCAAAAACTTCAGGATATTAAATAGAGTGTGCATCTCTTTCCTGGACATGTCAATTTGCTTTAGAATCTTGTTGAAGGAATAAATAGGTATAAAGAAAATATTAGGGCTTTGATTTCATGACTTGAAAATAATATATTTTTAAATGGTGGAATTAGTCATAGGTTTAATATTTAGGCATTCAGATCTTTTTCTTTTTTTTGTACTTTCATTCTAATGAATATATCTTAGCCTTGATGAAATACAGAGAATGAGAGAGAAATAAACAGTAAGCATGTTACAAATAAGCATACTTCTCCAAAGCCCAGAAGAAAAAAAGCTTGAAAATTTTGTGATCAAATTGGAAGTCAAGATCTATGGCATTATGTATGACATTATAAATTATATATTATATAATAAAGACCAAAATGTGCATAACTGCTGCAAATTATTAACCTGTGTTTTCCTTTCCTTTTTTTTTTTTTTCAAATAACTTCTCTTTATGGCTACAATTTGATAGGAGCTCAATAATGTTTTAAATATTACATACATCTTATTGTCTACCTACTATGTGCTGAGCACACAGAACATGTGCATTACTTTAAAGTATTTTATTTCCATTACAGAGATGAGAATTGTACATCAGTCCAAAGTATTAAATTTATAAAAATATCTTAGAGACATGTAAGAGTAGGTATTGTTCTAATATAATAGTACTATTTATAAATAAAATTTCATAAATTGAAGCAATTTTACCAAAGTGAAAATCACCAGATATTGTGTTATTCTAAGCAAGTATGCTGGTCTCATTTATCCTTGATATAAACTTGCATTCCAAAGGCTAGGTTATTTGACAAGTTTCTGCACTGGATTAAATTATTTGGCAATTCTTTCCTGATTCCTTTCATTGGCTACTCTGCAGATATCTCAGTGACCCACACCTCAGTGTTTTGCCCTCTTCTCAATCCACACTCCATCCTTTGAATACTGGATTTCAAACTTTTGCTCATGTCACACAATTAGTTACATATTTTATAATGTAACTCACAATGCACTGAATAAAATGCAAACAAAAATGTCATGAAGCAATATTTATCCTACTATATGAGATAAATCTGATATTTTTTTCTCTGCGCTTGTTAGTTTTTTTTAAAATACTGGTTGTTATTCATTACATTGATTTCCTGACTCATTAATGGGGCACAACTTACAATATGACAGTACTGTTCTGGGTGATCTCCAGTGCTACAGCTTTAAATATTATCTGACTCTTACATGTATATTCCAGCCACATCTTCTCCCCTAACTCGAGACTCCTGTATTCTACTTGACATGTCTCTATGGATGTTTTCCTAAACTGCTCCCCTTCCCTTAGTGTTCTACTTCCAGGTAAAATGGCAACACCAATCAGCCAGATGCTCAAGCCAAAAACTTCAAAGTCCCACTTAACTTCTTTTTCTCTCTGTCTCATACTCTGCCATCTCTACCTTTGAAATATATGCTAAATCCAACTCCTTGGCACCTCTACCACTACCACCTTAATCTAAGTCATCACCAGTACTTACAAGGATTACTACAAAAGCCTATTAATTATTTTCGTCCATTTTCCAACAACAGGGTGATCCTGAAAAACATAAATCACATCATGTCTCCTACTCAAAACCATCCAATGGCTCTTCAGCACACTTAGAATAAAATCCAAATTTCCTATTATGACCTATAGGCCTACTGTGACCCTAGCTATCCCTTTCTGACTTCATCTCTTATCCTTCTTCACTCCCTTCCAGCCACAGTTGTCCTTGCTGTTTTTAGAAGGTGCCAGAAATGCTCCCACTTAAAATTTTTGTACTTCTTGTTCCTTCACCTAGAATGCTTTTCTCCAAGAGATTCGCATGGCTTGCTCCCTCATTTCACTGATTTCCTGCATAAATATCAACACAGAACAGCCTCTCCTGACTGCCTGACTTAAAAAAACACTCCCTAGCCTCTTACCTAGCTTTCCTTTTTCTTCACAGCTCTTATTACTTAACACTATAATACCTCCAGTGCTTAATGAACTCAAAGTTTAGTTCAAGGAATAGATATGTACGTAAATGAATGTCAGTAATCACTGTCTGGGAGTATTATTAAGAACTTTAGTCTTGGTACAACATAAATCTCATTCTTCATGACACCATTCTTTTTTTTTTTTTTTTTTGAGCCGGAGTTTCACTCTTGTTTACCCAGGCTGGAGTGCAATGGCACCATCTCGGCTCACCGCAACCTCCGCCTCCTGGGTTCAGGCAATTCTCCTGCCTCAGCCTCCTGAGTAGCTGGGATTACAGGCACGCGCCACCATGCCCAGCTAATTTTTTGTATTTTTAGTAGAGACGGGGTTTCACCATGTTGACCAGGATGGTCTCGATCTCTTGACCTCGTGATCCAACCGCCTCGGCCTCCCAAAGCATTCTTCCTTTTTAAGGACCACGTATAAAACAAAACGAAGAAACAAGACTATCTTTGTGAGGTGAACTGAGAAAAGTGTTAACGGAATCTAACCAAACTCATAAAGAAAGCATGGAAGTTTTTATTTATACTGATATCCAGGGCAAAGGAATTAAGAATCTTGACTAGGGCCCGGCGCGGTGGCTCACGCCTGTAATCCCAGCACTTTGGGAGTGCACCCCGAGGTGGGTGGATCATGAGGTCAAGAGATCGAGACCATCCTGGTCAACATGGTGAAACCCTGTCTCTACTAAAAATACAAAAAAAAATTAGCTGGGCATGGTGGCACGTGCCTGTAATCCCAGCTACTCAGGAGGCTGAAGCAGGAGAATTGCCTCAACCCAGGAGGCGGAGGTTGCAGTGAGCCGAGATCTCGCCATTGCACTCCAGCCTGGGTAACAGGAGTGAAACTCTGTCTCAAAAAAAAAAAAAAAAAAAGAATCTTAACTAGATTCCATACATGTGCCTAGCAAGAATATTTATAAAACAAGAATTATAAAGTAATAAATTAGGCCCAAGACTGTTGAGCCAGACTACCTGGGTGCAAATCCTGGTTCTGACTCTTAGAAGCTATAAAAAACTTTTCTACATATGTGTTTCCTCACTTACATAATAACATGGAGACAATACTAACTATACCTACCACATAGTGTGCTGTACAGAACAAAGCCTGTCACATATTCAAGTCCTTAAATAAATACTAGCTACGATTATTCCTTTATAATTTATAACCAAATTCCTTACCAATTGGCACTATTAAAATATGCAAACTTTGATGGGCAAAACTCAATTATGCTTTATATTTCCAAGCTTCTTTCCATAAAAAGGGATTTATACTGATTGAAAAGTTTTTCCCAGCCAAATACTGAAAAAATATATTTATTACTGCGACTGAAAGCCAGGTAATCATGAAATTATAAAACATGTGAAACCCTTAATCCATGTGCATATAAACCTGTTATATTGTACAAAATAAGAAATTCAACAGTTTATAAGTATGAAAAAATTACAAACTTTTCTTAAAGATTAAAATTTAATATTGCTTAAATTCTCTGCTACATCATATGTTCAACATTTTGGATTTTATAACTTAGCTTATGTTTTACGCTTTTCATAAAACAACACGATTTGGTTGAAAAATGCACCCTATTTTATTACAATAATATAGATTTAATAGCAACAAAAAAGACAAAACTTACCCCTACACGGATAGATAGCAGCCAATTACCTTAAATATTTAAGGTCAAAAAAGATAAGAAAAACTGAGATTTTTCAAGCTCATTAAATATGTAATATGATATGCAGTTAATTAATAGAGAACAAAAACGATGATTAAAATTAGCTGTTTTGTTACCCGGTAAAGACATAGTAAAAAAAGTTTTGAAGTGAAAAGCTTACTGTAATCTTAGCCTTAAATGAAGTGTGTAATCTCTCTGGAGAATCATCTGTTGCCATGGAGTCATAATTCCTGCAGCTAAACCTGACCTCATAATTAACAGGGATCCACAGCACAAACAGCTAACACCTTAGAAATATCAAGTATGAAATAAAATTACTGAATTTTCACAGCAAACAATACCTGCGCTTGTCTTAATCGAAATAGTTTAAATATCTGTATTCCAAGTATTTCAGTATTCTGCATAACAGAACTCCATACGCTACCTTAAATATCTTATAATAAAAACAACATATACCAGAGAACTGTGTATACTACAGATGTATTGGTTAGCTGGCTCCAGAATTTGTTAATTTTGAGGCCTGCTAAATTGTTGCTGTTGGAAAGGCTATTTGGATACTCAGCATTTATTCTTATTTAAAAATCACAGATGATACAAAAGCTACAAATAAAACAGGTTTTTAAAAAAGAAAAAAAAAACAACAACAATCTAGGCACATGATTCATGCCTGTAATCCCAGCACTTTTGGAGGCCGAGGTGCGCGGATCATTTGAGGTCAGGAGTTCTAAACCAGCCTGGTCAACATGGTGAAACTTTGCCTCTACCAGGAGGTTGAGGCAGGAGAATCGTTTGAACTTGGGAGGCAGAGGTTGCAGTGAGCTAAGATCGTGCCACTGCACTCCAGCCTGGGTGACAGAGCAAGGCTCTGTCTCAAAAAACAAAACAAAATACAAAAATGTGCCGGGTGTGGTGGTAGGTGCCTATAATTCCAGCTACTCGGGAGGCTGAGACAGGAGGCAGAGGTTGCAGTGAGCAGACATCGCGCCATTGCACTCCAGCCCAGCGACAGAGCAAGACTCCATCTCCAAAAAAACAAAACAAAAACAAAAAAACTTGATGGGCCCACTATTACAGAAGCTCAAGTTTGAGCTTTGTTTAAAGCAAACACATAGAAGTGCAAAATACAAAAAATAAAAAAAGAACTGATAAGACTATTCTCAAATCTCATTGACTTTTTCAGTCTTATTTTTGAAGTGAGACCTAATAAGACGATACCTTCAGGTGTAATACAAACAATTTTTAGTAATGAGTATGCTTAAAGCAATCCTCTCAGTGGTGTATGCTCCCCATCAGGCAGTTAAAAAAAAAAAAACCACCCACATAGCTTAATATTTGATATATTAAATGTGACAGCGAATCACTTAGTTGCATTATAACAGTTTATTTTCACGGATTTAAATGACCATGTTTACATGTTCAAAATTTTCACATCACTAGTTCTTGTTAGCTTTTGCTAGCATCTCCTGTAAACATTGGCTCTACAGATAAACTTGGAAAAAAAATAGAAATACACCACCTTCTTATCAATAATGTTGCACACGACACATTACTAAAGCTGGCATTTTTCTTGATATTCAATAACTTATGACAAGGAATGAACTCCTGGCATTAAGAATAAAGGGGAAAAAACAAGTCACCTAATCCCAAAACCAGGCAGAAAGCTGGGATGGAAAGTACGTGTATTAGCAAACGTTTCCGAAGCCAAAGCAACTTTCATGCAAGTTAAATTTTCTATGTAAGTTAAGAACCGAAGAGATACTGCTGTGATAACAAAATATAAGCAAAGGGCCCAAAATGATGCAAGTCCTTTGGAGTAAATGTTAAGTAGTATTCACATAGAACTGCTTTCTGCAATCAGAAAGGGCTGGAATGGAAAACTCAATGCCAGAGAAAGAAGTTTAAAGTGTGACCCAAGAGGTCATGAAATTTACACTTAACAGCAAACATCAAACCACCCCTACAAACGCCTCCAACTGGAAGCTGCCCCATTTCTCCATCAGTAGAAGCAGACATGAGGGATTAGCTAGGGGGAACCTGGGAAGCGCGAACTACTGAGGAGGCCAGAACCCTCACCCGCACCACCTTCAGCAGGAATGGGCGATAATGAGTTGGGGGCGGCCCAGGGCTGGAGAAAAATCAGGAAGATAATACCATGCCCTTGTCCTTCCCAACTTTCTCCCCGCATGCTCAGCCCTGCAACCCCCGAAGAAAAGAGCAGTCTTTAGAGGGTCGCGGGGGCTAAGAAGCCGGCGGCCCGAGCGCCCTCTTTACCTGGTCGCAGAGGCGCGGCCAGGCAGGGAGGGTGCGTGAGCGTGTCGGCGACCTGGACCGCCTGCGCCTTCCCGCCCAGCCGGAGCTGAAATTCCAAGGCTGCCTCTGGGAACTGCTGCCTGTAAACCACTAGCTTCCACAGAGGCCGAGAGAAAAACAACAGGCAGTTTATCTGGAAAATACTCCCGCCGGCCGTCATTCATAATCCGGCGGACCGGATAAGGGGAAGTAACGTCACTTCCTACTGTCGCACTGCCAAACGTTTCCCCCGGCCCTACTGTGGGAACCTTTGTTTTCCCGCTTTCGGAGCCCGCCAGTGCGGGGACCGTTTCCGAAGAGGCCACCGGGACCAGGAGGATCGGCAGAGCGGGGCGGTACGGTGAGTTGTGCTGAGCGACTGTGCTCCCGGCAGCCTCCTGGAGGCTCGAGACTCCCCCCCCACCCCCGCGCTAGGGGAGAGGTGGAAAAGTAGCTGCGTGGGGTATTAGTTAGCTCGCTCCTCGAGGGGAAACATCGTAATTTGCGGGTGGTTACCTGCCCTAGACTAACTGCTCTCCTCTTTCAGTGAGAACTGGGCTTCCTCCGATGGAGTTGCGGGCCGGGGCATGCGGACTGAGGATATTTCTAGGTCTAAGGACTAGGAACTTGGAACCTTGCTTCGGACTTTGTTAGAGGGTTTTTGTGGCTTCTCTACATAGCTCCCTCTTTGTCTCTCATCTTTTGGCTCCCCTTTTAAGGACCATCCCTCATTCTAGGCCTTCGGTGTGTCCTGCTTTGATCAAAGGATTGACATTCCTTTTCTGTTTGCTGTCAGCTTTCAGTCACTTGATTGGTTTGGAATCGGAGCCTTTTCTCCTGCGATTCCAGGTGTCCCTAAGGTATCTGTTATCCAGAACCGAGAACTCACTGGAGGAATGAAAACGGCAGCATCTTTAAAAGAATGTTTATTGGAAGGGGTTGCAAGAGCTTGCGAAGTCATGAAGGAAAAAGTTTTTTAGAGCCATTATGAAATGGAAATGGTAATACTGCACTCTGTGTGGATAGATTCAGTTTCCTTCATCTGGGGCACATGCATATGATCAAATTTGGACTTCTTTTGAGATTGGCAGGTAGGGTGAAAAACAGATCTAGGGGAAAGCACATACTTATATATGAATGCCCAATTTAGGATGGAGAGGTCACAGAAGCCTCATAAGGTGACATTTACCCAAACCTAGTTCATTCATTCAATAAATATTTTTGAGCCCTTATTAAGTTTGAAGCACTAGGTATATAACAGTGAACAAAACAAGTTCCTGCTCTCATGAAGTTTACAGTCCAATGGGATTAATGAATTTAAGCAAGCCAGGTGAAAGATTATGAGAGTATTACAGTTAGGAGCATTGTCCTACAAGTCCCCAGTCATGAAAGAGGTGATTGTCTTCCTTTGCTTTTGCTTTTTGATGTTTGCAGGTTTTTTTGTGGGGGTAGGGGTGAGTTACTTTTGTGATTTTTGCTAAAGGGGCTTGGAAATGGCTACAATTGTGTAGATGGAGACATAAGACCACTGTATTTTGATCACTTAATTCCAGTAATTCTATGGCTATCATTTTTGTGGTACTTTGCAGACTGGCAAAGAGATAGGCAAAAAGATATAGATAGATAGATAGATAGATAGATAGATAGATAGATAGATAGATAGATAGATAGATTCTGCCCTTAAAATACTCAGAGTTTTATAGGGGACATAACACTTGTGCCAAAAAAAAAAAAAAAAAATGTTTCAAGGTAGAAAGTTGCACTACCATGAAAATGCACTATGAGATATCCTTGAAGGGAGAGACTATTAACAGGATTTGGAGTGGAGCAGGGCACAACAGCTGTCAGTAAAGTCTTCATGAGAAGTAGTATTTGAACAGGTCTTGATAGGATTTAGAAATATACAAATGAGTAAAAACTTCCCAGACAAAAAAAGAGTGGGAAGGCCAGCTAGCTATTAGGCAGATCTGGGGATGATAAATGATAATTTTTGTGCCAATTACTGAATCTTCTTAAATGCTAGGTGAAGAAATTTGGGCTTTGTTTTTGAAGGTGATAGAAACCCCTAACTTCTTAGCATGAACTTTTTTTTTTTTTTTTTCATGAAAAAGAAGAAAACCGGGTTTCAGGAAATTAGTATGGCAACAATGTTGAAGTCAAGGAAAATAACATGGTTATTGCCGTAGTCCAAATAAGTTAATAAAAACTGAATTTCAGTAGTAGCTGTTCAAGTGAAAAGTAGGACAAGTGTGAAAAATTTTGCTGTCAAAATCCACAGGAGAGGCCTGCTGATTATTTGACTATAAGGAGTAGGGAAGGACTCAGTGTAGGAAAGACTTGGGTCTCAGACCTGACTGAACAGAAAGTTGTGTCATTCACTGAAAGTTAAGAGCAGGACAAGGAACTTTTCGGGAAAGTAATCAGAATCTCAATTTTAGTTATAACTGAATTTGAGATGCCATTAAGGAACCAGATAGACCCATACACTAAGCATTTGGAAACATGGGATTTAAATTTAAAAGATGTGGCTCACATTTGTAATCCCAGCACTTTGGGAAGCCGCAACAGGAGGATCACTTGAGCCCAGGAGTTTGAGGCTGCAGTGAGCCATGATCTCAGTGCACTCCAACCTGGGTGACAGCAAGACCACATCTCAAAAAAAAAAAAGGAGAGAGAGAGAGATTATAGTTTAGGCAAAACATATTAAGTCATCTGCCCGGAGATCATAGTTGAAAACCTGATGTGTAAGATTACCAAGAAGAAACTGCTAGCACAACTAAGAAAATAGCCAAGGACAAATACTTGGGCAATACCAAAAGCAACAAAAATCAGAAGATAAGCCAAAGAAAGAGTAGTGAGATATAGAAGAGGATAAACAGGAAAGTTGAGTGTAATAGAATGCAAGGGAGGAGAAAGTTTTATGAAATTGGAAGTAGATAACAAGTATTTACTTGGCCAACATTTACTGTTATCTGCTGTTTTCCAAGAAGTCTGCCAGACGGGTTACAGCAGTAGGTAAAACCAATCCACTGCCGGCCTACATGGAACTTAAATTCTATTGAGAAAGAAAGATTATTTACATAATTAACAGTGTGATTAATATTACAAATAAGTACAGAATGCTTTTGGACTATATAATGGTAAAACTTCTAATTTTGTTGAGGGAATGTGCAGGAAAAACTGAAACTTCAGAGGTGACTTAAGATGAAGGTGGGGGTGGCACTCTTTCTACTGAAGTGCTAAGGTAAGAAAGAGTATCTTGGAGGACTTGAAATAAGTCAGAGAGCTATAACAGAGTGGGAATGGCCTGAGATATTACGTAACATTTAAAGTGTGAACTGTGTGCCAGGTACTGTTGTAACTGCTTTATATGTGTTACCAGATCATATAGAGCAATGGTCCCCAACCTTTTTGGCACCAGGGACTAGTATCATGGAAGACAATTTGTCCATGGACCCTAGGAGTTGTGGGGAGGTGGGGTGGTGGAGGTATGTTTTCAGGATGGTTCAGTGAATTACATTTATTGTGCGCTTTATTTCTATTATTATTATTACATTGTAATATAGAATAAAATAATTAGACAACTCACCATAATTTAGAATCAGTGGGAACCTTGAGCTTGCTTTCCTACAGTTTGATCTGGGGGTGATGGGGGAAACTGTGATGGATCATCAGGCATTAGATTCTCATAAGGAGCACACAACTTAGATCACTGATCATGTACAGTTCACAAGAGGTTTCGCACTCCTATGAGAATCTAATTCTACCACTGAGCTGACAGGAGACAGAGCTCAGGTGGCAATGCAAGTGATGAGGAGCGGCTGTAAATACAGATGAAGCTTCACTTGCTTGCCTGCTGCTGACTTACTGCTGCATGGCCTGGAGGTTAGGGACCCCTGATGTAGAGAATTAGAGACCTTGTTAAGAATCTTAAACCTTTGGATTCTAAGAAGTGATAAAAGGATTGTAAGCAAGTGAGTGATATGAAAAGGTTTAGAGGATGACAAGCGTGATTGTGGTGAGACTGATTAAGCTATTGCAGTGGGTCAGAATATAGATGATGATAGGTTGGTCGAAGGCGATTGAAAAGGGTGGATAGATCTGTTTAAGGAAGTGGGAAGAGTTAAAGCTGCTTCTGAGTTACTGGCTTGGGCATTAGGGTAAATATCATTTGAAAAAGGGATTGCTAGAGGAAGAACTGGTTAAGAGAAAAGGGAATAGCGTATGAAGAGACTGTTGGAGACATGTTCAATAGGAGGCATCAATGAGATATCCATGTCAACCTGGCAGTTGGATCTTGGGAGAGAGGCATAGACTGCAGAGATAGATTTGGAATCACTGGCCAAAGACTATATGTATATCCAATTGTCTGGGCAATAACTCCCAAACTTTAGAGTAAATAGAATTGCCTGGAAGGTTTAATACAGATTTCTGGACCCTACTCCTGGAGTTTTGTCTTCAGTAGGCCTAGGAATGGAGACCAAGAGTTTGCATTTCTGAGTTCTGACGTGATCCCTATGCTGCTGACCCAGAGAACACATTTTTGGAAGAAGATATAGAACAAGGCAAGGAGAGACCCAGAACTTAGCATTGAGGATCTCATTTTGAATTGGATAGGAGGAACCTACAAAGATAACTGACAAAGATGTAGGAGGGAAAATTAGATGTATTAGGTTTACCTGACTGAGGCTGCGAATGACTCGTGAGAGCATTTTTATGGAATAGTGGAGACAAAGGCCAAGTTGTAAGAATTGCTGTGTAAATAGAACAAATGAAGAAAAAGAGTACAGAAGTAGATGATTTCTGAGAAAGTTTTGTTATAAAAGAGAAAAGATAGAAGATGTTTGGATATATTTAAATGTCAATGAAAAGATGCCAGTAGAAAAGGCTGAAAAAACAAAAGATATGGTAAATAATTCATAGGTCAAGGTTTGAGAGATGACAAGAAGAGATAGGATCAAATCTAGGTGACATTGCATAGAGAGCCACCTTCTCCTTTTTTATTAGATGGGAAAGAGGAAAGGATGGGTGCAAGTAAATTTGTAGATGTGCTGGAAGGAAATTTACTTAATTACTCTCTGACAGTTTCTCTTTTTTTTGTGAAGTAGGTGAGGCCATCTATTGAAACACAGAAGGAATTTTAAAAGAAAATGGAGAAAGTATAAATGATCTTTGCAGATAATACAGAAATGAGTTGACAAGAGAATCGTGAGAGAATTGCCAAGTTGTATTGAATGCCAAGCTGAGATTGGTGATTCTGAAGATACAGAGTGTTTATGTATTCCTTTCAGTTGGACTTAGAGTTTGGGTGCAGGCAGAGAGAGAAAACGGCTAGCAGGGTGGATGTCTATAAAATAGGTAAAACTGTAAGGCTTTCAGGTGCCTAGAGTACTGAAAGAGTTATAGAAAGGTTGGATGACAGAATGAGCTGGATAGGAAGTAAAATGGCATTTGCAGTAGATCAAGGATAATAAGAGATAGAAAGATCATTGTTTAGTAACGGGGATGTCTGTGTTATATGCATTTGACACAGCTAATTCCTAGTATCACCTAAGAATTCACTCCTATCAATAATACTACTACCACTTCCCTAGGTCATTGAAAGTTTAAAGTGGTAAATATTCATTTTCTCACATTCTTCTTTTTTTAAAGCAACACCTACATTTAAAAATGAAACCTGCATTTAATATATTAAATTCCTTTCATGTATACATTTTTCTTTCATATATACACACACAGGACTTTGTGTTTTCTAGAACCCTAATCCATAGTAAGAATGATATGGCTCTTTTACAGTCTGTTTTGGCCATGGGTTTAGGAATATAGGTACCAAGATTGACCTGGTACCTTGAAAGGATCCCTGGGTTAAGGCAGTGGAAGAGATAGAGTAACAGAAGATTGTAGTCAAAAAGGAGAATTGAGTGTAATAAAAGAGAAGAATAGTTGTGGCAAGTTTCAGATTTCACTCGCTGAAGATAAAGCTCCTTGAGGTTCAAGATCAATTATATACACACACTAGTATCACTCTGTATGTGAATAGATATTTTTTAAATAAATAAGTAGAACTGGGTGTGGTGGCTCATGCCTGTAGTCCCAGCACTTTGGGAGGCCAAGGTGGGTGGATCACAAGGTCAGAAATTCGAGACCAGCCTGACCAACATGGTGAAACCCCGTCTATACTAAAAATAAAAAAATTAGCCAGGTGTGATAGCACGCACTTGCAATCCCAGCTACTCAGGAGGCTGAGGCAGGAGAATTGCTTGAACCCGGCCCGGGAGGCAGAGGCTGCAGTGAGTCAAGATCCTGCCACTGCACTCCAGCCTTTGTGACATAGTGAGACTCCATCTAAAAAATAAATAAATAAATAATTAGAAATAAATTAAAAAATTAATATTTTTTCCGTGCATTCCACTGTGGGGAACCACTGGGCCAGAAGGCCTTGTTAGTAATTTAGGGCAGGGGTACAAAGTCTGTGTTTTATAATGGCAAGATTGCATGAAAAGAGCTGACTCCAAGTTTCCAGCTGGAATGTTGGTGTTGATGATTTCCATAATCTTGTAATCTAGGTGCTGACTCTTATCTTCTAATCTGTAATGCAAAGCTTTTACCTGTGGTCGTAGAAATACATAGCAATAAGTACTTGACTTTCATTTTTTCAGCATAGAAATTTCAAGTATTGGTTTTTCTAATATATTACAAGGATTCTTTTTAGGTGTCAACCCTTTATCAGTACCCAATAAAGTAAATTATTTTATAGCAATCTGGATAAGTAAACTGCTATTTCCATTACCTAGTTGAAATGAGATCAGTAGAAAGATTAGTAAACTGTCACAGGAGTGGAGTTTAAAGAAAAAAAAGATTATGCTGTTACTCTTGTATATGCTGAAGGAATGGCACATTTACCGTTTTAATCATGGAAATTTTATTGAGGAGCTATTTTTTTTTTCTCAAAATATACATGGTGACCAGCCCCATGAGTAAATTTTAAAATAACTTTTCTGTACCTGTTATTATGTAGAGGTGATGTATGTAATGATATAATTTTAAGAAGTGACAGAGGCTGCTTTTCAATTTTGTTAAATTCTTACAATTTGAGATAAGGTTACTTTTTCATTATAGTATGGGCCTTTGGACTCCTTTTCTTGGGTGAGTCAAATGATATTTTAGTAAAGTACAGAATTTGACAATAATTTTGAAGTTATCAGATAGATAACTAATACCTTCCTGGAAACTTTTAAAAAAAAGCCTAGGGATGTGTATTTGTGCTTCTTGTCAGATGTGGAGAGGGATGAGGAGTGAAGTTGGAGGGGAGGGAACAAACAAAATCCATTTTCGACATGCTTTCATATGCTAGGATTCAACCTACAGCAAGTTTTAATGGTGTTATAAACCCCTGAAAATGGGAGATAACTATGGAATTGCTGACAGTTCCCTAACTGTAGCAGTGCAAGTATGTTGCATTATTATAATATTAACCTCAAGGATAGAAGAAGATTTTAAGCTATAATATATTTATCAAAGGATTGAGCACAAAGAATACATTCTTATTCTGATAATTTCTTGCCTGGAGAGGTCTTTGAAAAAGTGACAAGCAGAAGCAGGACCACATGATAGCATTGGTATTAACTAAAGACAAAACTTTTTAATATGGAATTTCATAAGCCTTTGATGTATATCTTTATCCATCTTGGCTGTTTTTAAGCTCCTTAGGACGCAAAGCATCATAGGCGCTGTGTGTGTGTGTGCGTGTGTGTGTGTGTGTGTGTGTGTGTGTTCACATGCATGTTTTAAGTAGATATGATATCACCCCTCAGAGACCTTACTTTTAAAAATAGGTTAATGCATGAGGCACCACAATCTAAATGTGATTAAATAAGGTTATCATTAATATGTTTTTGAGACATTAAGAGTTGAAGTAAAAGCGGCAGCAGTGACTATGATAGCTAATCACTTAACACACCTCTTCACCACTGCCCTCTTACACATGCACAAACATGTCACTGCTATCTTTATTTGTGTTATGGAAATAAAGTTTGAGAGAAGAAATTTCAATACAGAGTAAACTTGACCTAAACACATCAAGTTCTATGTACTGAAACTGTAAAGTGTACCTTTTAAAACAGCTAGGAAGGAGTTCTGTGGCAGGGAGAAGCCTATGTGCATTTAAAACTTTACCATTGAGATAGATACACAGAAAACTGATAATGCTAGTTGTTTCAGTGGGAAGAAACTAGATAATGACTGTCGGGAATAAGAACGAAGTTTACTTTTATCTGTAATAACTTTTTGGTAATTTTAAATTTTGATTCGTGCACATTATTGTCTATTATAAATAAAAACCAAAAGTAAAAGTTCGATATAGGTAATTGTGCATTGTCTTCTAAATTACTTCCTCTTTTTTTCCTTCAGGTGTTTGCAATGGCTGCTACTGTGAACTTGGAACTTGATCCCATTTTTTTGAAAGCACTAGGTTTCTTACATTCAAAGAGTAAAGATTCTGCTGAAAAGCTAAAAGCACTGCTTGATGAATCTTTGGCTCGGGGCATTGATTCCAGTTACCGTCCATCTCAAAAGGTACCTACATGAACAAAAAGCGTGGAGAGAGTTTTGTAAGGCATGTAGTAGTATATTGATAACATATAGACCATCTCAAAACAGTCTCAGCTGAAATAATCTTTCTGTGTGTCATGAAGGAATTATATTCTTCATTTTTTTTTCTTTCCTTAAAGTTTTCAGAGAACTGTTACACCAGATAGAAAAATTGGCTTCAATTTCCGATTCTTTATGATCAGAATTTTTTTTAAGTTGCTGAATATAACCACAACTTACTTCTAATTATTCTCTAATGTTTTAAGGATTAAAAAAAATAATAAAAGGAGAGATTTTCCAACAAAATAAATTGAATATGGAAACAGCAAAATAAATTGAATAGGAAAATTTAAGAGAAAAGGAGGTATGGATGAACTTGGAGAACTATATAGCTCTTATCTTGATAATAACAAAGTAGCCAATGGCAGCTTTATGTGAAGAGAATATACGTTTGAAACCACACATACCTGTTTTAAATCCCACTTATGTCTTATAATTGTGTGATGATAAAAGACAACATATCTTGATGTCTCAGGCACTTTTCTGAGTAGATTATGTGAAAAATTAATTTTAATTATAATGATCCTTTAAGATAGATACTTTTTTTTTCATTTTACATAAGGAAAACTGAGGTATGTAGTAACTTCATTTCACCTAGTTTCTGTTTAATGGTAAAATGGGGATAATAAGGACTACTTTGCAGAGTTGTAAAAATGGAAGGAGATACAGTAAATAAGTCAGCCTGGTACATAATAGGCTGTCAGTGAATGACAACTCTTACTATATTTCCTAATACCTACTAAGATGTTCTTTTGAATTATTCTAAGCTCTGGCCCTGAAACTCCCAAATCACTCAGGTCTGTGGACCTAAATACCAAACCGAGAAGAAGACAGAACATGACTAGCTCAAGTCTAACCAGAATCTGAAGCTCAAGAGAGGATCAAGTCCCAGGCTCAGAGCCCAAGTAATCGCTGGTATTTTGTCCCCAGCCACCTTTCAACACTAGGTCTAGTACTCTGAAGCCTTTTTATTGTACTTTGAATAGCAGAAACATTGTGACTTCATTTCTTCCATTCATTCTTATTCCAGTAGGTTCGTGATTTCAGACTGAGGAAATCAATACAGGCTGGTCTCCAACTCCTGGACTCAAGAAACCTGTCTACTTTGGCTACCCAAAGTGCTGGGATTACAGGCATGAGCCACCACGCCTGGCCCACAATATACTTTTAAGTTTAATCTGCATTATTAACATTTTCTTCAACACTTTTTTTTTTTTTTTTTTATTGGATTTTAGGTTTTGGGGTACATGAGCAGAGCATGCAAGACAGTTGCGTAGGTACACACATGGCAGTGTGCTTTGCTTTTCTTCTCCCCTTCACCCACATTTGGCATTTCTCCCCAGGCTATCCCTCCCCACCTCCCCCTCCCACTGGTCCTCCCCTTTTCCCCCCAATAGACCCCAGTGTTTAGTACTCCCCTTTCTGTGTCCATGTGTTCTCATTTTTCATCACCCACCTATGAGTGAGGATATGCTGTGTTTCATTTTCTGTTCTTGTGTCAGTTTGCTGAGGATGATGTTTTCCAGATTCATCCATGTCCCTACAAACGACACAAACTCATCATTTCTGATTGCTGCATAATATTCCATGGTGTATATGTGCCACATTTTTCCAATCCAGTCTATTATCAATGGGCATTTGGGTTGATTCCAGGTCTTTGCTATTGTAAACAGTGCTGCAATGAACATTAGTGTACATGTGTCCTTATAGTAGAACGATTTATAGTCTTTTGGATATATACCCAGTAATGGGATTGCTGGGTCAAATGGAATTTCTATTTCTAAGGCCTTGAGGAATCGCCACACCGTCTTCCACAATGGTTGAACTAATTTACACTCCCACCAACAGTGTAAACGTGTTCCTTTTTCTCCACATCCTCTCCAGCATCTGTTGTCTCCAGATTTTTTAATGATCGCCATTCTAACTGGCGTGAGATGGTATCTCAATGTGGTTTTGATTTGCATCTCTCTGATGACCAGTGACGACGAGCATTTTTTCATATGATTGTTGGCCTCATATATGTCTTCTTTCGTAAAGTATCTGTTCATATCCTTTGCCCACTTTTGAATGGGCTTGTTTGTTTTTTTCCTATAAATCTGTTTGAGTTCTTTGTAAATTCTGGATATCAGCCCTTTGTCAGATGGGTAGACTGCGAAAATTTTTTCCCATTCTGTTGGTTGCCGATCCACTCTAGTTACTGTTTCTTTTGCCGTGCAGAAGCTGTGGAGTTTCATTAGGTCCCATTTGTCTATTTTGGCTTTTGTTGCCAATGCTTTTGGTGTTTTGTTCATGAAGTCCTTGCCTATTCCTATGTCCTGGATGGTTTTGCCTAGATTTCCTTCTAGGGTTTTTATGGTGCCAGGTCTTATGTTTAAGTCTTTAATCCATCTGGAGTTAATTTTAGTGTAAGGTGTCAGGAAGGGGTCCAGTTTCTGCTTTCTGCACATGGCTAGCCAGTTTTCCCAACACCATTTGTTAAACATGGAATCCTTTGCCCATTGCTTGTTTTTGTCAGGTTTATCAAAGATTGTATAGTTGTATGTATGTTGTGTTGCCTCCGGTGCCTCTGTTTTGTTCCATTGGTCTATATCTCTGTTTTGGTACCAGTACCATGCTGTTTTGATTACTGTAGCCTTGTAGTATAGTTTGAAATCCGGTAGTGTGATGCCCCCCGCTGTGTTCCTTTTGCTTAGAATTGACTTGGCTATGCGGGCTCTCTTTTGGTTCCATATGAAGTTCATGGTGGTTTTTCCAGTTCTGTGAAGAAAGTCAATGGTAGCTTGATGGGGATAGCGTTGATTCTGTAAATTACTTTGGGCAGTATAGCCATTTTCACGATATTAATTCTTCCTAACCATGAACATGGAATGTTTCTCCATCTGTTTGTGTCCTCTCTGATTTCGTTGAGCAGTGGTTTGTAGTTCTCCTTGAAGAGGTCTCTTACGTTCCTTGTGAGTTGTATTCCAAGGTATTTTATTCTTTTTGTAGCAATTTCGAATGGCAGTTCGCTCTTGATTTGGCTTTCTTTAAGTCTGTTATTGGTGTAGACGAATGCTTGTAATTTTTGTGCATTGATTTTATATCCTGAGACTTTGCTGAAGTTGCTTATCAGTTTCAGGAGTTTTTGGGCTGAGGCGATGGGGTCTTCTAGGTATACTATCATGTCGTCTGCAAATAGAGACAATTTGGTTTCCACCTTTCCTATTTGAATACCCTTTATTTCTTTTTCTTGCCTGATTGCTCTGGCTAGAACTTCCAGTACTATATTGAATAGGAGTGGTGAGAGAGGGCATCCTTGTCTAGTGCCAGATTTCAAAGGGAATGCTTCCAGTTTTTGCCCATTGAGTATGATATTGGCTGTTGGTTTGTCATAAATAGCTTTTATTACTTTGAGATACGTTCCATCGATACCAAGTTTATTGAGGGTTTTTAGCATAAAGGGCTGTTGAATTTTGTCAAATGCCTTCTCTGCGTCAATTGAGATAATCATGTGGTTTTTGTTTTTGGTTCTGTTTATGTGGTGAATTACGTTGATAGACTTGCGTATTTTGAACCAGCCTTGCATCCCTGGGATGAATCCTACTTGATCATGATGAATAAGTTTTTTGATTTGCTGTTGCAATCTGCTTGCCAATATTTTATTGAAGATTTTTGCATCTATGTTCATCATGGATATTGGCCTGAAGTTTTCTTTTCTTGTTGGGTCTCTGCCGGGTTTTGGTATCAGGATGATGTTGGTCTCATAAAATGATTTGGGAAGGATTCCCTCTTTTTGGATTGTTTGAAATAGTTTTAGAAGGAATGGTACCAGCTTCTCCTTGTGTGTCTGGTAGAATTCGGCTGTGAACCCGTCTGGACCTGGGCTTTTTTTGTGTGGTAGGCTCTTAATTCTGCCTCAACTTCAGACCTTGTTATTGGTCTATTCATAGTTTCAGCTTCCTCCTGGTTTAGGCTTGGGAGGACACAGGAGTCCAGGAATTTATCCATTTCTTCCAGGTTTACTAGTTTATGCGCATAGAGTTGTTTGTAATATTCTCTGATGATGGTTTGAATTTCTGTGGAATCTGTGGTGATTTCCCCTTTATCATTTTTTATTGCATCTATTTGGTTGTTCTCTCTTTTATTTTTAATCAAACTGGCTAGTGGTCTGTCTATTTTGTTGATCTTTTCAAAAAACCAGCTCTTGGATTTATTGATTTTTTGAAGGGTTTTTCGTGTCTCAATCTCCTTCAGCTCAGCTCTGATCTTAGTTATTTCTTGTCTTCTGCTGGGTTTTGAGTTTTTTTGATCTTGCTCCTCTAGCTCCTTCAATTTTGACGATAGGGTGTCAATTTTGGATCTCTCCATTCTCCTCATATGGGCACTTATTGCTATATACTTTCCTCTAGAGACTGCTTTAAATGTGTCCCAGAGGTTCTGGCACGTTGTGTCTTCATTCTCATTGGTTTCAAAGAACTTCTTTATTTCTGCCTTCATTTCGTTGTTTACCCAGTCAACATTCAAGAGCCAGTTGTTCAGTTTCCATGAAGCTGTGCGGTTCTGGGTCGGTTTCTGAATTCTGAGTTCTAACTTGATTGCACTATGGTCTGAGAGGCTGTTTGTTATGATTTCAGTTGTTTTGCATTTGTTGAGCAGTGCTTTACTTCCAATTATGTGGTCAATTTTAGAGTAGGTGTGATGTGGTGCTGAGAAGAATGTGTATTCTGTGGATTTGGGGTGGAGAGTTCTGTAAATGTCTATCAGGTTTGCTTGCTCCAGGTCTGAGTTCAAGCCCTGGATATCCTTGTTGATTTTCTGTCTGGTTGATCTGTCTAGTATTGACAGTGGAGTGTTAAAGTCTCCCACTATTATTGTGTGGGAGTCTAAGTCCTTTTGTAAGTCATTAAGAACTTGCCTTATGTATCTGGGTGCTCCTGCATTGGGTCCATATATGTTTAGGATCGTTAGCTCTTCTTGTTGTATCGATCCTTTTACCATTATGTAATGGCCTTCTTTGTCTCTTTTGATCTTTGTTGCTTTAAAGTCTATTTTATCAGAGATGAGAATTGCAACTCCTGCTTTTTTTTGCTTTCCATTAGCTTGGTAAATCTTCCTCCATCCCTTTATTTTGAGCCTTTGTGTATCCTTGCATGTGAGATGGGTTTCCTGGATACAGCACACTGATGGGTTTTGGATTTTTATCCAATTTGCCAGTCTGTGTCTTTTGATTGGTGCATTTAGTCCATTTACATTTAGGGTTAATATTGTTATGTGTAAATTTGATACTGCCATTTTGATGCTAAGTGGCTGTTTTGCCTGTTAGTTGTTGTAGATTCTTCATTATGTTGAAGCTCTTTAGCATTCAGTGTGATTTTGGAATGGCTGGTACTGGTTGATCCTTTCTATGTGTAGTGCCTCTTTTAGGAGCTCTTGTAAAGCAGGTCTGGTGGTGACAAAATCTCTGAGTACTTGCTTGTTCGTAAAGGATTTTATTTTTCCTTCACTTCTGAAGCTCAGTTTGGCTGGATATGAAATTCTGGGTTGAAAGTTCTTTTCTTTAAGAATGTTGAATATTGGCCCCCACTGTCTTCTGGCTTGTAGTGTTTCTGCCGAGAGATCTGCTGTGAGTCTGATGGGCTTCCCTTTGTGGGTGACCCGACCTTTCTCTCTGGCTGCCCTTAGTATTCTCTCCTTTATTTCAACCCTGTTGAATCTGACGATTGTGTGCCTTGGGGTTGCTCTTCTTGCGGAATATCTTTGTGGTGTTCTCTGTATTTCCTGCAATTGAGTGTTGGCCTGTCTTGCTAGGTGGGGGAAATTTTCCTGGATGATGTCCTGAAGAGTATTTTCCAGCTTGGATTCATTCTCTTCGTCCCCTTCTGGTACACCTATCAAACGTAGGTTAGGTCTTTTCACATAGTCCCACATTTCTTGGAGACTTTGTTCATTCCTTTTTGCGTTTTTTTCTCTGATCTTGGTTTCTCGTTTTATTTCATTGAGTTGGTCTTCGACTTCAGCTATTCTTTCCTCTGCTTGGTCTATTCGGCTATTGAAACTTGTGTTTGCTTCACGATGTTCTCGTATTGTGTTTTTCAGCTCCTTTAATTCATTCATATTCCTCTCTAAGTTATCCATTCTTGTTATCATTTCCTCGAATCTGTTTTCAAATCTTTTTTCAAGGTTCTTAGTTTCTTTGCATTGATTTAATACATGATCTTTTAGCTCACAAAAGTTTCTCATTATCCATCTTCTGAAGTCTAATTCCGTCATTTCGTCACAGTCATTCTCCGTCCAGCTTTGTTCCCTTGCTGGTCAGGAGTTTTGGTCCTTTGTAGGAGGCGAGGTGTTCTGGTTTCGGGTGTTTTCCTCCTTTTTGCGCTGGTTTCTTTCCATCTTTGTGGATTTGTCAGCTGGTCGTCTGCGTAGTTGCTGACTTTTCGATTGGGTCTCTGAGTGGACACCCAGAATGTTGATGATGAAGTATTTCTGTTGCTTGATTTTCCTTCTACCAGTCTAGCCCCTTCGCTGTACGACTGCTGAGGTCCGCTCCAGACTCTGCTTGTCTGGGGTGCACCTCTAGCAGCTGTGGCACAGTGAGGGATGCTGTCAGTTTCTTTTTCTGCTATCTTTGTCCCAGGATGATGCCTGCCTAATGTCAGTCTTTTGGATATAGAGGGGTCAGGGAGCTGCTTGAGGAGACAGTTTGTACTTTATAGGGGTTTAATTGCTCAGCTGTGCGCTCTGTTGTTCCTTCAGGGCTGTTAGGCTGCTATGTTTGATTCTGCTGCAACAGAGCTCATTAAAAAACCCTCCTTTTTTTTTTCCCTCAAATGCTCTGTGTTGAGGTGTTTGGGCTTTATTTTTGGATGTTCCATGAGGTGTCCTGCTCAGCTAGAAGGCAGACTAGCCACTGTTTGGCTGCCGAGGCTCCGCCCTGCTGTTGTGTGATTCGCCCTGTTCCTACAGGCTCTGCTGTGGTCTCCGCCACGCCCTGCGGCGGAGTCTCTTCGTTGTAGCGTGTTGCCTCAGCAACGGCAGGCTACGTCAGCAGTGGGCCTATATCTCAGTAGGGACGGGTTGCCTCGGCAGCGGCTGGCTGCGTCAGTAGTGGGCGTGTATCTCAGTTGGGGCAGGTTGCCTCGGCAACGGCTGGCTGCGTCACCGGTGGGCGTGTATCTTAGTTGGGGCGGGTTGCCTCGGCAACGGCTGGCTGCGTCAGAAGTGGGCGTGTATCTCAGTTGGGGCGGGTTGCCTCGGTAGTGGTGGATGCCCCTCCCCCACAGAGCGTCTCGGGCCGTCTGCTGGGTATAGTTTGAAAACGCGGTTTTTTTCGTCCCACTGGGTATCCCAAACGATCTGTCCCTACAATCCCCTGGGCTGGGCTTCTGTACAAGTCTCGTTCAGTCTCAAGTCCAGCCCTCTCAAGTCTCAGGTTGCCAGTTCAACAAGGCACCCGGACAAGCGCGCCCTGTGGGGATTGCTGGGTAGGGCCGGCCGCTGCCACCCCGGCTGCCGGCTTCGCCAGGCAGACCTACTGCCTGGCGTCCCGTGTCTTTTTTATACTTGGGAGTTTCCCCGTTCTGTGGGCAACAAAGATCAGTCTGGAAATGCAGCTCAGACTCACCGTTTGCGGATTCAACGCGAACTCCAATCCTGGGTTGTTCTCACAGCGCCATCTTGAGTCCTCCTCTCTTCAACACTTTTTACTAAGTCTACACCTGTGGTCAACAGACTATAAAGAGCCAAATTTGTGGGCCAGATGGTCTCTGTTGCAACTATTTAATTCTTCGATGGTAATGTGAAAGCAGCCATACATTATACATAAATGAATGGTGTGGCTGTGTTCTAATATAACTGTTTATAAAAAACTATTTATCGGCCTCAGTTTGCTAAACCATTGTCTAAGCAGTCAGCACAATAATATATCAAGCCCTGCCACCACTAGATCAGATTCTTCCTTTCCCTTCTTTTCCTCCTCAGAGGTAATCACTATTCTGAAATCGATGTATATTATTTCCATTTATAGTTTTGTACTTTTACGTATTATCACAGTAAAATGAAATGCATCAGCTGCTTTAGTTTTATTTAGAATAGGGGAGAGTGCCCCCCCTTTTTAGGGAGGGGGTTTTCCAAGGAGCTGCCATATGCATAAACAAGTTTATGCATACTATTAATAACAATAAATAACAAGTTATCTATATCAGCAAAGCTACAATACATGAAGAAGGAATTGAAGTTTTAAACAGAATGAAAAGACTAGCCACACACTGAGAGAAAATATTTGCCAATCATATATCTGATAAAGGCCTTGTACCCAAAATCTATGAAGAACTCTAAACCCAATAATGAAACAAACATTCATTTTTTTAATATGGGCAAAATATTTTATCAAATAGTTTACCGAAGAAGATATATGTATGCCAAATGAACACTTGAAAAAATGCTTAACATCATTAGCCATTGGGGAAATTTAAATTAAATCTACAATGAAATACCACTACATACTTATTAGAACATTTACAATTTTAAAAGACTAGCCATACCAAGTATTGGTGAAGTTAGGAAGGAACTGGAACTCTCAGATACACTTGGTGGAATTGTAAAATGGTACTACCACAGTTTGACAATTTTTAAGAAATTAAACATATTATTACTAAAGAAAAAAATGTTTTAGTGGAGTTCTGAAATGGAAGTTTATCTCATAAAAATCATACAAAATTAGTTGTGATTAAAAATACTTACCATATAACCCATTCCTAGATATTTATTCTAGAGAAGTAAAAACATAGGTATGTACAAATACTTGTACATGAATATTCGTAACAGCTTTATTTCTAATAGTCCCAAACTGTAGACAACCCAAATATCCACCAATAGGTAAATTGACAAATAAATTGTGGTATATTCATTCAATGGAATATTATTCAGCAATAAGAAGGAATGAAATTATACACTTAACAACATGGATGAATCTCAAAAGAAATATTCTAAGTAAAAGAAGCCAGACAAAAAAAGAGTACATACTATATGATTCCATTTATATAAATTTCTAGGAAATGCAAACTAATCTGTTGTTTCAGAAAACAAGTAAGTAATTGCTTAAGGATGGGAGACATATTTTCTCTAGGGTGTATACCTGTAAGAGGGTAATAACAAAGGGCCACGAGGAAATTTGGAGGGGAGATGCATATGTTCATTATGTTGATTGCAGTGATAGTGTCACAGAGGTATACATATGTCAAAAATTTGAAATTTTGCACTTTAAATAAGTGCAGTTTGGGCTGGGTGTGGTGGCTCACATCTGTAATCCCCGTACTTTGGGAGGCTGAGTGGGCGGTTCATCTGAGGTCAGGAGTTTGAGACCAGCCTGGCCAACATAGTGAAGCCCCGTCTCCACTGAAAATACAAAAATTAGTGGGGTGTGGTGGCATGCCTGTAGTCCCAAATACTTGGGAGTCTGAGGCAGGAGAATTGCTTGAACCCAAGAGGCAGAGGTTGCAGTGAGTCAAAGCTGTGCCACTGCACTCCGCTCCACTCTGTTGCCATTCCAGGGCAACAGAGACTCCATCTCAAAAAGGAAAAAGGTACAATTTGTATATCAACTGTTTCTCAATAAAGCTATTTAGCTATTTAAGAAAGAAATATTACATTGGTTATAATGAAATGTCTTAATTTTTAACTGAAAATTGTTTTGATTAATCTATTTTTTTATGATTAGTCTGAATATTTAATTACTGGTATTTTTTTTCATCTTTTAGGATGTGGAGCCACCCAAAATTTCAAGCACAAAAAATATTTCTGTTAAGCAAGAGCCCAAAATATCATTGAGTCTTCCTTCTGGCAGTAATAATGGCAAGGCCCTCACAACTGAAAAGGTAAAGAAGGAAGCTGAAAAGAGACCTGTTGATAAAGTAAGATTTTGTTTTAATCTTGTTAAAAGAAAAAAAGTAACTTAGTTGTCCCACAGGCAGAAAGAGACAATGTTTTATGCCTGTTTCTTTTATATAATAATAGGTATAGATACATAATAATTATCACTCAGTGAATATATACTGATAGCTATAGATTTTGACTTTCCAAAAAATGAGTAAAATTTACAAATTTTAAAGTTAAATGGTTAAAAGTTGTTATCAGTAAATATTTGAGCCCCAGGGAGTATAGTAATTTTGAGTGTAAACTTTACTCTATGACTCAGAGTAAAGTTCCTAGATGGAACAGTTGTTGAGAAGAAAAGATGGTTACACTTTGGGAGGCTGAGGTAGGCAGATTGCTTGAGCTCAGGAGTTCAAGATCAGCCTGGGCAACTTGGTGAAACCTCATCTCTACAAAAGATACAAAACTCAGCTGGGCATGGTGGCACGCACCTGTAGTCCCAGTTATTTGGGGGCCAGGGGGTTGAGAGAATTGCTTAAGCCCAGGAAGCAGAGATTGCAGTGAGTGGAGTTCGTGCCACTGCACTCCAGCTTGGGTGACAGAGTGAGGTGCTGTCCCAAAAAAAAAACTAAAGCAAGAAAGAAAAGATAGGAAAAAGTATACATGTAAATGACTAATCATAAACTTTACAGAATGGCATGCACCTAAACAGGGCCAAAGATAATTCTTGGATTGTCTATTTTTAGATGATTTCTACAAATAGTAATTAAGATTTTAGTAATCAGGAAAAAAATACATTTAAAACACCCAAAAGACAGACTATATTATCCCATATGTTTTCATACTTTTGCTAAATAGTGGCTATTCATAAACTATGTTATATTATTTCTCTGCTTTTAGATTTACATAAATGAGGCTAGGCACTGTGGCTCATGCCTGTAATCCCAGCACTTTGGGAGGCTGAGGCAGGAGGATCACTTGAGATCAGAAGTATGAGACCAGCCTGGCCAACATGGCAAAACCCCATCACTACTAAAAATTTAAAAAATTAGCCAGATGTGGTAGCACACACCTGTAGTTCCAGCTACTCAGGAGGCTGAGACATGAGAATCGCTTGAACCCAGGAGGCAGAGGTTGCAGTTAGCTGAGATTGCACCACTGTACTCCAGCCTGGGCAACACAGCAAGACTCTGTCTCAAAAAAAATATGTAAATGATATATGGTGTGCGTGTATATATTCTTTGGTAACATTTTCTCCACTCAACTATGTGCTTTTGAAATTTATCTATATTGATGCATGTAGATCTACATTTCTTTTAGCTACTATATAATACTTATTCTATAAATTAACCAGTTTATCATTCCCCTACTGATGTGCAATTAGATATTTCTCCTTTTGTTCTATTACAATGGAGTTTGAGTGAGCTGCATTATATATATATATATATGTCATGTTAATAGTTTCTATAGGATGTATACTTATAAGTGGATGTAATAGGATATGACATCTTCAGCATTACTGGGCATTGCCAAATTGCTATCAAAAGTAGATGTACTAAATTTACACTCTCATCAGCAACATATAAGAATTCCAAATTCCATATCTTACCAGACTTCTTCATTTTTGCCAATCTAATGGGCATATTAATAATATTTATACCTTAAAGAAGGGAATCTGAATTTGCTCTGAAGCAAATATGGTAATGTGTTAAGTCTACATGGTAGAAGAAAATCCATACTAGTAAGTCTGTACTGGTAAGGCTGTAATAGTATAAGTAAATCTATTGAACGTCTAGAATTCTTTAATAGAACAGTACAAAGTAAAATACAAATGTTTGTTAAACTGTTCTGATTTATTTATTTCTATCTTGCTGGTTTCATTTAATGTACTGATAAATTCATTACAATTCTTCTACAGATCTTTAATGTGCACATTTGTCCCTAAATATGTGAATATATCTGTAAAATGAACTTGATCATTGCCTACTGTCCTTCTTATTCATCTTTCAGTGACTTAAGGTTTATTCTACCACATTACTTTATTATTTTCTGATGCCTGCTTTTTATAGATGAAATCAGACGTCACTGAAGGAGTTGATATTCCAAAGAAACCTAGATTGGAGAAACCAGAGACACAGTCCTCTCCCATTACTGTCCAAACTAGCAAGGATTTAGCTATGGCTGACCTTTCCAGTTTTGAGGAGACCAGTGCCGATGATTTTGCCATGGAAATGGGATTGGCCTGCGTTGTTTGTAGGTAAGTGTTACCTTGCCACAGAATCTTTTGTTATTTTATAAAGAACAGGCAACCCCTTTCCACTCCCAACCCCCCAAATCAGAACAATTGTTGAACATTGTCCATTTTGTTTTTATTATTTGGAACTGGGGTGGAGGTAAGTAGTTGTCTTATGAATTGTCCATATAACACCTTAACATTTTGAAAATTGTCAACAATTTTGTCTTCCCAACGATGACTTTTAAATCTGTTATGTTGTAGTAACATTTTCTGCATTTTTGTGTTCCAGAGGGAAAGCAGTTATTATATTATGATATATATATATCTATGATCATCTAAGGCTATAATGATTGCTTTTTATATTGTTGAAATTTATACTTTTTTATACACATGTGGCTTCATTCTATTAATCTGATCAGACATTTATTGAGCACCCTGTGTGTATGCAGTAATGTGCTAAGCACTGTGGATTATTAGGTCCAGTTCTCACTTTTAGGTAATTCATATTAATGAAGAACAACAATAGCATATAGCTAACTAATGTAAGGGAATTTAATAGAGATACATACAAAATGTTATGAGACTGTTGGAGGACTAGTCAGAGTTGACTACCTTCTGAGAGGAAGACAAAAATTACGATGAGAAATGACAAGGAGAAAATAGCCAAATTTAATTAAGGCATTCTATATGTTATTAATTGCTGACCAAAAGCTTTAAAAGTTTATGCTTTTGTGCATGCTATGTGTTGGGTTTGTTATTTTGCTCTTTGAATTTCTGGGATTTTTTTTTTTCTTTTTAATATACCAAACCTTACCAGAACAACCCTGAAATAACTTTTTTTTTTGAGACAGAGTCTCCCTTTGTCACCAAGGCTGGAATGCAGTGGCATGATCTTGGCTAACTGCAGCCTCCATCTCCTGGGTTCAAGCGATTCTCCTGCCTCAGCCTCCCAAGTCATGAGGATTACAGTCATGCACCACCACGCCCAGCTAATTTTTGTATTTTTAGTAGAGACAAGGTTTCACCATGTCAGCCAGGCTGGTCTTGAACACCTGACTTCAAATGATCTGCCATCTCTGGCCTCTGGGATTGCAGGCATGAGCCACCACGCCCAGCCCCTGAAATAACTTTAAATTATTGCATTAAAAAAAGTACTGTAATGTCTATTGGTATCTTTTCTTAGGCAAATGATGGTGGCATCTGGTAATCAATTAGTAGAATGTCAGGAGTGCCATAATCTCTACCATCGAGATTGCCATAAACCCCAGGTGACAGACAAGGAAGCAAATGACCCTCGCCTGGTGTGGTATTGTGCCCGATGCACGAGACAAATGAAAAGAATGGTAGGAATCATATTTTTCTTTATTTTATACAGTCTGTCAGTGTTTTTGTTGGTATGGTCTTTAAAAACAAAGATTTGAATATTTAAAGTTACTGAGAAAAATAAATAATATTAGCTGATTATTTAAATGTTTGTATGTATAGTATTTATATTCGATTAATATTTCTATGCCTAAAGACCAGACAATGTTATGTGCATTTTTCTCTGTTTAGTTTTATCTAATTCTAATGTAGATAAACAAACAAGATTGGTGACACACAAATTATGAATATTTCTTACTAGTCTGTCAACATATTCATAAACATTTAGAAATAGCATGCAGCACTGAGAAGTGGTGAAATACAAAGCCCCACTATTTGTTGAGGTCTGGTAAGGAAATACAGAAAATTCCTGAGTGAGCTTAAACCACTGAATGTCTAAGATGTGCACAGAGGCAATATTTATATGTATGTATTTGTCTTTCCAGCTGTATTTCTCTATTGTTTAGTCTTTCCTTTTCATTGTCCTCAAGTGACCATTTATCTCATTCTTTCAATTTGCTTTCTCTTGGTACTGTTTACTAACATACCTGCCTTTAATAGCATAGTGAAATGTTTTTTTATTTGTTATATGGGATAGTTTTCTAACTTTTATTCACTTATAAAGTAGATAAATGATACAAGAAATTGCTATAATGTCCTATTCACCACTTCTCCCTCCCACTTCCATCTCTTGTCTCTGTCTTCAAATAGTGATTCTCAATTGAGGAGTTCTCACGTTTGTCTGTCAAATGAATTTCTACATAAATTTGTCTAACTAATATATCTTTTAAAGGTCGCAAGTACTGTCTTCAAATAGTGATTCTCAATTGAGGAGTTCTCACGTTTGTCTGTCAAATGAATTTCTACATAAATTTGTCTAACTAATATATCTTTTAAAGGTCGCAAGTACTTAGTTAAAAGTAAAAATTCAAGATACCCATTTTACTTTTTAATCAGTTAAATCAGAAATAGAAAGTGTTTTTATTTATTCCTATGAAATAAAAAGTAGTAAATGAAAAGTGCGTATATCAGTAGTGTGTATATTTCTTACTTGTAACAGGAAATTTCTGTGACAAGTTACAATCTCTTTCGCTCAGTTTGATTTTTATTTAATTTATTATTTAAATTAGTTCTCCAGGATCTCAACTGAAATTACTACAGATGAGCAGTACATTCCAGAGCATTGATAAGAAGCCACTAAGAATTGGAAATTATCAAAAGAAACAAGTTATGACAATAATGTCTTTCTTTAGTATGTCCTCAATGTTTCATTATTATTATTATTATATTCCTTTAACTCCCTTACTAACTAAAGTAAGCACTATTCTTTCCCATGTTTTTTCTCCTCCATTTTTTCTGATTTATTTTATGTGAAATCTATGTTTATGGTTCTAACCCTGCTTCCTGGGTGAGCTTCTATAGCTGACTAGTCTATAGATACTTTAAATTTAATATATTTAAAAGTAAAAGTTGTTCTGTATCCAGTTTTTTTTCTTCAATTGCCTGAATTAGAAAACATCTTTGATGCCTCTCTTAATTCCATATCCCTTCGTTTACCAGAGGTTTTAATTCTACCTCTTTTATATCTCTGAAATCTATTCATTTCTCTTTTATTACTATTTCACAAATCCATTACTTGTCTATTACAATAGCCACTTAAGAGATCTCCTTGCTTCCCATCAATCCACTTTGCCTACTATCATTAGAATTATTCTAAAATATTTATCTGTTTATATATGCCCAGCGCTCTCAATTACTTATATAATGAGGTTATACTCATTAGGATGCATATATGGACCTTCTCTTTTTGACCTGACTCTACCTTACAGCTTCCTGTCTCACTGCTTCACCGTACACATTCATACACTCTGGCCACTCTGGGACAGACTTAAGTGTGTCATTCCCTGAATATGTGGAGAACTTTCATATTCTGCTTCTCAGCTTCGTCTCTTCATCTGGGATACTGTTTATTCTTTATCTGCTTTGCAAATTATCTAATTTATCAATAAGATCATGTAATTCATTGGCATAGCACGTAAGCAGAGCTTAAGACTGGATGCATTCTACATTCTGTTCTTATTTTAAGTTAAGTAAAATGAAGTAAATAGAATTTTTTTTTTTTTCGAGACAGGGTCTCACTCCGTTGTCTAGGTTGGAGTGCAGTAGAGTGACCATGGCTCACTGCAGCCTCAACCTCCCCGGCTCAAGCAATTCTCCCACCTCAGCCTCCCAAGTAGCTGGGACTACAGGCGTGTGCCACCAGGCCTAGCTAACTTTTTAAATTTTTTGTAGAGATAGAGTCTCACTGTGTTGCCAGGGCTGGTCTTGAACTCCTGACCTCAAGTGATCCTCCTGCCTCAGCCTCCTGAAATGCAGGCATTACAGGCATGAGCCACCATGCCAGGCTAAACGTAGATTAGTACCAGAAATCAACAGTAAATCTGGTCTGTGTGTCCAAAAGTCAAAAGTAGTAAATGGGGAGTCATGGCTAATATTAGAACATCGCTAGAATACACCAAGAGTAGATGTGGGGAGATACCAAAAGACATAATCTGAAGTGAGCCTAAAGATCAGAATCCAGAAAATATAAGTTTTAATGAGAGAATTTTGGAACAGTGGGGATTCTAAATCCATCATTCTAACTATAATTGCTTTGAGTGAGATTCTCACATGTACATTGGCTATTGTTCCAAGGTGTCTCAAAGATATTATAAATAGCACCTGACATCCCCTTTCTCCTTGCACAGATTCCTCAAACTGGGGCAAGTTCTGCAGTATGCATTATTGTAGGAAGACCTAGTTAAGAAGGTTGTGTTTATGTACAGCAGGGTCCAAGGTTATTCTTCAGTTCTGTAATTTTCTCTCTACTCAGTAGTGGGTTTTTCCCCAGCTTCAGGTGAGAGACTCAAAACAATAATTGCAGTGGTTCTCAATCTAAGGTAGTAACACACTCCTATTTTGCAGCATTTAGAAATATGTGGGTTTTTTTTTTAATTGCTGCCATTCTGGCAGTTAGTGCCTTAGTGGAGAATTTTATTACATTTTGCAGTGTGTGAAGCAGTCACCCAATGAAAATTTTAGTGTCTTATTGAACAAAACTGAATCTGTAATTATATTGTAGTATTATCAGTAAAGGACAAAGGATTGTGGGTATTTCTTGCTCAGTTTCTAAGATGGCTGGATAAAACAGGGGAGGGAGAAGAAGATCCAAACATGATCTCACAACTAGAAGTACTTCCTGGGGCTTCACCATAATTGGTCTTTGTCTGTTAAACCATACAAGTTAGGTAGGTCCTCAGAATCTAACCTCTGGAGTGATAGATGTGAGTGGAAGTCGGTGTTAAGATTGAAAACCATGGTTTTGAAGCCATATGTTCCTGTTTTACTGTGTGGGATGCATTCTTATAACATGGTTTTGCAGTAGAGGGTAAGATAACCCTCCTTTCCTGCTAGTAGAAGATATTTTACCACAGATAATCTTCCAACATTCTTAATATTCTTGATCCAATTGTTACTTTATAAATCTTGTTAAAGATAGGTGTAGTTTGATATGAAAGATATGTAGTATAAAAAGTGATATGAATTGAGATTTAAGGACCAAAACTATATAGTTTGGCAAACAGTAGCACAAGATTACACAAGAAGGCCCAAACAAGAACAAAATAGGCCAAAGTTTGGCTTCAAGAAATGGTGACAAATTGTTAATAAATTTCCTGGTATAGTAGTATGGGCTTATGAAGATTATCAAAGACTATGGAATGTGGGGGGGGCATCTTTCCCTGTTTAGTATAGATGGATTTTTCTGGATTCAGTTTGTTTATCCTTTGTAAATAATAATGATGAATAAACAGTAACTTTTTGTTAGCACTCAACATGTTCCAGACATTATGCTAAACTCTTACATAGTCATGATTTATTTTCATAACCCACCTTTGAACAGATGGTATTACCATTTTACTGACAAAGAGAATGAGGCTTTTAGAGATTCACATATTTTGCCTGAGGTAACATACCTTGAAAAATAGTTGCTGGGTTTTGTTGTTGTTTTGAGATGGAGTTGCACTCTTGTTGCCCAGGCTGGAGTAGAGTGGCATGATCTCAGCTCACTGCAACCTCCATGTCCTGGATTCAAGCAATTCTCCTGCCTCAGCCTCATAATAGCTGGGATTACAGGTGTCTGCCACCACACCTGGCTAATGTTTCTATTTTTAGTAGAGTTGGGGCTTCACCATGTGGTCCAGGCTGGTCTTGAACTCCTGACCTCAAGTGAACCACCTGGCTCAGCCTCCCAAAGTGCTGGGGTTACAGGCATGACCCACTGCACCTGGCCAGTTGCTGGGTTTTAATCCCAGCTCTGTTTGACTCCAAAAATTACTCTTAAACACTGTACATAACTGTTTATAAAGTTATAATTATCTACCTAGAAAACTCTAAAAAATAAACTCAAAAATTATTAGAGTTTAAAGGAGAATTTAGTAAAGTGCTTAGTTATGAAATAAATGAAAAAAATTGATTATTGATTGAAATAAAACTGAAAATGCTTTTAAAAGAATAGTGGGTGAAAATTCTTTGATAACATAGAAATTTGTATTTATGAACTTTCTCTAAAGATTTAGTGTGGCTAGTTCTGCAACACGGAAAAACCTCAAAAAGTATCATTATTTATCTAGTTTTTTTTCTCCCTATTCTATATTTAAAACCATATAAATGATCTGAGCTATGTTTTAATTTGCCCTCAGCAGCTGAGGGATTGACGCCTAGACCCCAAGGAGAAAACTCCTATGTATTTGACCAACCCCAATGAGAAATAAATGTACTTTATCATGAGTAAAGCAAATGGTTACATGTAGTTTGTGATTTTTCTTTTTTAAAACAATGTTATCTCATTAAAATATTTAACCCTATTCTGTATTATTTGTGAAGTGTAATATTATCTTTACTGTTTAGAAACTAATACAGTCTGTAAAACCATTAATATGATAAAAATAATTTGTCAAAAAGCATATATATTCATTATCAAAATTTTTTTTAAAATGTTCAACTGTATTTCATTTCAGTGATGAGTCCTGTGTTAGATTATTATCTTTTTGTATATTCAGTTAAGATTTTGTATCTGATTTAATCCATTGATTTTTGCAGGCTCAAAAAACTCAGAAACCACCACAGAAACCAGCCCCTACAGTTGTTTCTGTAGCTCCAGCTGTCAAAGATCCATTGGTTAAGAAACCAGAAACTAAACTGAAACAAGAAACAACTTTTCTAGCATTTAAGAGAACAGAAGTCAAGGTATAGTAGATTCTATTTTTATCTAAGATTATGTCTTAAAAGTTAGTTGACTAAACAATAGTTGCTTGATAAAAAATTTAATGAGAAACTTTATTTACTAAATGGGTATCTTTTAGAAATTAAGACTTCTATTAGGTAGAAAGGGAACATTTATATCATTATTTAATCTCTAACTCTGCTGGGTTTTTTTTTGTCACAAATAGGAACAGTCTATGATGATTCCAAAACGACATTCTTTACCATTCTTATATGGTTAGATACTTATCTCCAATCAGAAATCTGTTTTACATTAAGGCTGGGTGCCCTGGCTCATACCTGTAGTCTGAGAACTTTGGGAGGCCAAGGCAGGTGGATCACCTGACATCAGGAATTCAAGACCAGCCTGGCCAACATGGTGGAACCCTGTCTCTACTAAAAATACAAAAACTATACAGGTGTGGTAGCAGGCCCTGTAATCCCAGGCATGATGGTGGGTACCTGTAATCAGCTACTCAGGAGGCTAAGGCAGGAGAATCACTTGAACCCTGGAGGTGGAGGTTGCAGTGAGCCAAGATAGCACCATTGCACTCCAGCCTGGGCGACAAGAGCAAAACTCCAACCCTCTCCCCCCACCCAGAAAAAGAAATCTGGTTTAAATTTAAAATAACTCTACCCCAAGTGACACCAATTTTGCTCCCCACAGTACTTAGACTACTTGAGCAGATTGGCCTTGTATTTTTTTTTCTCCCTACTTATTAGTTATTGAAGGAGTTTTCTTGCTTTGTCTTGTTTTGTTTCTTTATAATGAACTTTCAATGGTATCTACCTCTTATACCAAGGGACCACATTGTATAGCAAGAGTATTACCTTTCTCATTCCTAAGTTTGCATCCTTGAAATCATACTACATTATTCTTAATATCTTGGCATTTTTATATCATGGAAAACAATAATTTTCTATTTTGTAACAAAAAGAATGCTTTTACTGAGGTACACTTTCCAATGTTAAGCATAGCACTAAATATGAAAAAAAAAAAAATAGCCTCAGATTCTCAAAGATTGACCTGAGAAAACTCTAAAGTGATTGCCTAAGTGATTATAAGTAGTAAGCTTAATATGCTTGGTGTGATGAAGAAGAATATGAAGTACTTTAAAAACACATATTGACAATTATATTTGGATATTATTTTTTATTTTAATTTGCCAGGGAAGATTTGCTATCCAGTGGATATCCAATATTGATTTGTCACATAGGAACTTGGTGAATTGGAATAGAAGTAAGAATAAGCAGTTTATTGAAAGTAATTAGAGTTGCTATATTCTGCACATAATCTTTTTTTAGTAGATTTTTATACTAATCTGTTACTACTGAAGTTTATTTTTAGAAAATTCAACATGGAATCATTTTATGGCAAACAAATTAAATCCTTTGCTGTCATATTTATTTTGATTAAGAGATCTTGTGTTTTTTAATAAAGAATTCACTTTTTATAAAAGTGAATAAGGCCGGGCGCGGTGGCTCAAGCCTGTAATCCCAGCACTTTGGGAGGCCGAGGCGGGTGGATCACGAGGTCAACAGATCGAGACCATCTTGGTCAACATGGTGAAACCCCGTCTCTACTAAAATTACAAAAAAATTAGCTGGGCACGGTGGTGCGTGCCTGTAATCCCAGCTGCTCGGGAGGCTGAGGCAGGAGAATTGCCTGAACCCAGGAGGCGGAGATTGCGGTGAGCCGAGATCGCGCCATTGCACTCCAGCCTGGGTAACAAGAGCGAAACTCCGTCTCAAAAAAAAAAAAAAAAAAAAAAAAAAGTGAATAAATTTATACTATTAAAAAATTGTCCAAGTTACATATAAAAAGCAAATGTCTTTTCTAACTTGCCCATCTAGCAAATGGGCAAGAAAATATTTATAGTTAAAAACTTGAGAAATTTGTTTTCTACACTGAAATAGTTAGAAATTACTTGGTCTCCACTGTTTGTGTTATTTTGCTTTATGTGTCCTGATAGTATTGTAAACCATCTGTCATCATGTTGAAAAGCAATACCAAGCAACAGCAAGCCATTAACATAAAATGCCGGACACATAGTACAAGCTTTCTTGCTTATACTTCACAAGTGTTGGTCTTTTAATTACTAAAGATAGGTTTCTTTTGTGAAGTTTGTTTAAAGATCATTTAACCATATGGCAGACAGTTTTATGTTTAATAGTGAGAGAAGAAAAAAATTAAGTATTTCATAACTGAAAAGTAAAAGTTTACTTCTTGCCTTTTTCTCTCGTTGCTGGTATACATTCCTCTAGGAATGTATGGCTTACATGGTGTTTCTTCTCTGGATAACTTCATAAGATAGTTAATATGATACTGTAGGAAAACATTCTATCAATTTTCAGAGTATGTGGACAAATATCTGGATTCCTTCTCTTATAAAACAAAGATCTCAGAACTCTCTGTTTTTGTTACTTTTCACATTGGCTAAAACTGTATGCATGCAGACAATATTGAAGGCTACCTTTCAAGAGCTAAAAATGTTTTATCAACTCTTTCAGAGTTAAAATTATAACTGGATATATTTTAGGTACAGTAACTACCATTTTAAAAGTAGGATGTTATTCTGTAAAATTGTACCTTTTACCTACGTGTGAACTTAACAATTTTATGAATCTTCTTAAGAGTATAAAGGTAGAAAAGGTGTCAATAAGAAGTTCAATTCAAAATTAATGTGAACTACATACATTTGTGCCTAATGTGAAAGTGAAAAAATCTATTCTTGTGTGAACAAGAGCAATATGTACTTATGTAGTGGCATTGGTATCACTGTAAGCTTCTGATTAGCCAGGGAAGTTAATCAGAGAAGTTGAGATGATATACCCTTACGAAATATATCAGAGAGTAGTAAGTCAGTCCTACCCAAAATGTCACTGTGCAGCCTAATGAGGAAATTTATAAAATTGTTATTAATGGAGCAGGAACCTCTTCTGTGGTAGTTTAACCGGAATCATGGGCAAATTGTGAAACGAAAATCATGAGACCTTTTTAATACATGTTTTGCAGTCTGGTAGCTGTTGCTCAGAATTTGGGAGAACTTTTTTTTAGTGGGTTTGGAAGCTATACAGCTGTGTTCTTTCTCTCACTCACTCAATAAATAAACATTGACTGAATCTCTTCATCTTGGATATGTTCTCTTGAATATTCTGTATATGGGCATTTTTGTCCATTATGAGTGAATTAAATTTTTGAAATGATCCTTAGTTATTTGGAGCAAAATCTAAAAGAATTAGATGTTTAACTAATTAGATAATACCTTGTTGGGTAAAAAGTATGTTAAAGCACTAAATCTGGTTTTCAGATATAGCTTAAAACTGAATCTAAAAGCAATTCCCAAAAAGGAATTTCATATATTTTCTTTTGGAATCATTAGAACAAGAATATGGCATCAAAAAATTTCTGCTTTGGAAATGATAATACCAGCTAGATACAGATACGTTTTTTCAGACCAGCTTCATAAGAACTTAATTTGGTGGTGTGATTTAAATTTCCCAGTTCATCACTTAGATATAAAAAGGTCTAACAACGTTTATATTTTTAAGGATGTTTATATAGGTATTAATTATACTTGGCTATAATGTAATATTTACCTTATTTTTTTAGACATCCACAGTTATTTCAGGAAATTCTTCTAATGCCAGCGTTTCTTCATCCGTAACTAGTGGCTTAACTGGATGGGCAGCTTTTGCAGCCAAAACCTCCTCTGCTGGTCCCTCAACAGCAAAATTGAGTTCAACAACACAAAACAATACTGGGAAACCTGCTACCTCATCAGCTAACCAGAAACCTGTGGGTTTGACTGGTCTGGCAACATCATCCAAAGGTGGAATAGGTTCCAAAATAGGTTCTGGTAATAGCACTACACCCACTGTACCGTTGAAACCACCTCCACCTCTAACCTTGGGTAAAACTGGCCTTAGTCGCTCAGTTAGTTGTGACAATGTCAGTAAAGTAGGTCTTCCTAGTCCAAGTAGTTTAGTTCCAGGAAGCAGCAGCCAACTAAGTGGGAATGGAAATAGTGGAACATCAGGACCTAGTGGAAGTACTACTAGCAAAACTACTTCAGAATCCAGCAGCTCTTCCTCAGCATCCCTTAAAGGTCCAACCTCACAAGAATCACAGCTCAATGCTATGAAGCGATTACAGATGGTCAAGAAGAAAGCCGCCCAAAAGAAACTCAAGAAGTAATGTGGCCAAGTAGCTTTTTATATCATATTAGCCTAAAGATGAAAGGCTTATTATTAGGATATATTCTGTAACATACTGTAATTTAATAAACATCTTCATAATCAAATTTCTATTATTTCTTATTTTAAAATGCTAAATATTATATAACAAAACTTGGAAACTATTGTTTTAGATCAGTCTTCAACATTTTTGTTTTAATGATTTCCATAATGTGTGAAAACAATGATTAGAATGACTGGTTCTCAATGAAAACTTCCGAAGATTGATAGCATCTATTAATTTAAGGAAAACAAAAGAGTTTGTCTTCTAGCAAAGCCCCAAGAGTTGATCCTGATGAATGAGGTGCCTTATGTGGTAGCAGAGATGACCCAACATAGTTTTCTATTTTCCTCCCAATATTCTGGGTATTTATTTTCTGTGCTAGCCACATTTCGACTGACTCTCCCTCTCCCAATTATTTCATCTTTTTCAAAATTATTTTTTCATAATTGATTTTCCATATCGATGGATTTTCCTGATTTATCCATACCTCGTATTTTATCTTTATCTTTTTTATCACCTCATTTCAGTTATTTAAGGATATATCTTTTTCCAATAGATTGTGAACTCTCATGCTGTTTAATACAATATTTTTCTCATATTACTCACTTTTTCCTACATTGCCAGTGTAATATATGCACATAAGACATAATAAATAAGAATTTTGATTAATCCCAGTTATGCACATTCCTGATAACTTTTTGAAGAAAAATACCATTTCCCAAGAGTCTTTGTGGATGCAAATGTATGACTTGTTCACACACTGACAGCTTCTTCCTATACTATAAAAGAAAAGGCTATCTTACTTAGTGCTCAAAATGTTATAGCATTTTACCTAATTTTAGTTAACTTTGTTTACAGTAAGCTCCTATATAATGATTACTTCTTGAGATTTTGTACATCGTTAACCCATTTATGGCAGAGGTTGCAAATTTTTTTGGTGAAAAATCAGACCTTGGTGATAATCTTGAGCAGTAGGGTATAATAATGCCCAGAAGCTAAGCGTTGCAATAATGGAACACTAGGCATAAATGGGTTAAGTCCAAAAATGTGGAGGGTCTGAGTTGTCTTACTTGCAAGCTAACAAATTAACCAGCAATTTTTGTACATATATATTCTGAGAGAAGATTGGAAGCCCTCTGCATCAGAGAAACAATTTATTATTTACAGCAAAAAAAAAAAAACCGACATCCAACAAATTTCCACATTCACAAGACTGTGAACAGCCTGTTCCATCAGCCTTGATGTGTGCCACTAAGTCTTCACTCTATAAATCTCTAATTTCAAACCATCTTCCTTAATCCCTAGGTTTTTGTAACATTATTCTAAAGTGTATTGATGGATGATCTCTGTAAAGACAAAGCTTTTAAAATTAAGCTTCGTCTTTTTTTTAAGGAAAGATTATTATTTTAAATTACTCTTAAATAATGGTGCTAAATTATTTGTAATAAATTAGAATTCATTATCTCAATAGGCAGTAAATGTCTGCTTACCCCATGTGTAAATAACGAATTATCTCAATCCTACAGAGACTTTTGCTTTGAGAAACAGATTTCTTTTGATAATATATCAATTTAACATAAACCCCAATTTCCCTTTGGGGTCAAAGAAACCAAAAAATATATATTCATAATTGTTTATAGTTCAGAGCCAGTTTGGACTAAACAAAATGACCTGACATAAAAACTCAGCTCAGCAACTATAACAGTTAATGTTATACATTAACCGTACCTACAAAAAATGAAAGCAGTAATGTTTATTACACTTCACACATTGACATTTGAAAACATTTATCCTGTCACAGAAAATACGTGCTAGATAGAGTTGAGAAGAGAAGCAATTATTTTAATTTCTATTATACCTCAGAGAGGACTTTAGGAGGTAATTTATCTTTCACTGAACATGGCTCTTTCTATAGTTAATACGTGCATATATATACTTAAGATATGTACATATGTATAAGTACACATTAATACAGTATTTAGCTCATGTTGGTATTTTATAGAGGTATATTTGGTATTAGAGTTTAAATTGTCTCGAGGAGATTTTAGACCTTGATTTTTTTCATATCATAAAGTGAGCTACAAGACTCTGAGCAGTAATGAAAGTAGACAGTTTTATATAAATAATATTTATTATTTTATGACCATCTATGTGCAGATATTTTCTTCACTAGAATTTAAGTGGTATGAAGGGAGGGGTCTTGTTTGTCTTGTACAGCATTATTTTCCCACTGTAACTCTCAATACTTAATGGCTCAATGAATGAAAGTAAGCTTTTAGGATTGTAGATTTTAATCCCATTAATAGATATGTGGTCATTATCATTTTTCTATTTTGTACATCATACATTTTGTAAGACTAAACTGTAGATTTTAGTGACTTAAGGAAAAGAAAAGGAAAAACACTGAAAGAAAAAGCCTTAAAATGAAAAGACCACGTTTTAAATCCCAATTCCTCCATGTGAGGTCCTCAGTTTCTTCCTTTATAAAACATAGATGATAATGAGATGTCTTTCAAGTCTACAGTGGATCTGAAAGGAGGACTGTTATTTTCTGTGAGATCAAGAAGAATAGAACGTAACAGAAATGTCCATTAATCCACATGCAAAACAGAATGCCCAGTGTTTACGTGGGGACACTGCACAGTCACAAAGAGAAATTACACTAAAAGGCTTCAGAGAAGATAATTTTAAAGTTTTGGTGGCAACCAATGTAGCTGCCCATGGTTTGGACATTCCAGAAGTTGACTTAGTGATTTAAAGTTCTCCTCAGGATATTGAGTCCTATATCCATTGCTCTGGATGCACAGGTAGAGTTGGACGGACAGAGATTTGTATGTGTTTTTATCAACTAAGAGAAAGAGGTCAACTAAGATGTGGAACAAAAAGTAGGAATTACTTTTAAATGTGTAGGTGTTTCTTCCACAATGGATTTAGTTAAATCTAAAAGCTTGGATGCCATCAGGTTTCTGGCTTCTGTTTCTTATGCTGCTGTCGATTTTTTTCTGACCATCAGCTCAGATGCTTATAGAAGAGAAAGGGGCAGTGGAGGCATAGGCTGCAGCTTCGGCCCACGTTTCTGGTGCATCAAGCTTTGAACCACAGTCTTTGATCACCTCTGATAAGGAGTTTGTGACCATGACTCTGGAAAGCCTAGAGGAAATACAGAATGTCGGCTGTGCTTAGAAAGAACTTAACAGGAAGCTGAGTAGTAATGCAGTGTCTCAGATTACCAGAATGTGCCTTCTGAAAGGATATATGGGTGTGTGCTTTGATGTTGCTACAACTGAGTCAGGTTACAGGCAGAGTGGCATGATTCCAACTCAATACTTGCAGTGCCAGCCAAATTATCTGAAATTGAAAAATATTATGATGGAAACACATCTAATTCCAGACAGAGGAGTGGCTGGTCAAGTGGCTACTTGGGCCAGTCAGGTGGTCAGGTAGTCGATCTGATGGCTGGTCAGGTAGAGTCAACCAAAGAGTTACTCAGGAAGTTGACAAGATGGTAGAATATGAAGTGGGCATAGAAATCAATCAAGAAGTGAGGGCCACAAACAGAGTTTTGACTAAGTATTTGATAGTAATCTACCAGTGTGAGGTTGCCTAGTTCTGCCTATCATGTACATTATCCACCAAAAATTAGGTTATCATAGTTGAGGTATGTGTCTGCTATTTGCAAAGAAGTTGGTCATATTTTCTTAAAAGGTATTTCACAAGAATGGCTGTAAACAAATCTACTTATCCAGTTATACCTTTGAATAAAAAAAACTCTGTTGTCTCTTTTTAAAAAAAAAAGGAAAGAGCTCTGGCTGAGGAGGAAGTCTATTCAGATGGGGCCTCAGAATTTTATTTTTGGTTTACACTACCTAGGTTTAAGTCCAAGCCCACCACTTAATAGCAATATGATTTGGGTTAAATTACTTCACCTTTTGGATCATGGTTTCTTCATAATGTTTTGAGTATTAAACAAGTTACTACATATAAATCACTTAGAACAATATCTGGCATATAGTATGCATTCAGTAATATTACATGTTAATATCAAGTTATTCAGTTTTCTTTTGGTTCAAAACATAAAACATTAACAAAACATTATCAAAGGCTTTTATTGGCAATATATTCCTATTTTGTATATTTAGTGTATACTCTGGTTTATGTATAGGTACATAATTCATATTATCTACATGTGTATAGACTGTAATATATATGGTTTATATGCATGTATATAAACATATGCACTTGCAAGAGCAATATGAAAAAAACATTTGAGGCAAAATACATCATATAGTTAAAAAAAAGGAAATTGAAAAATCTTTGGATCCAACCTTTCTTGAGGATAAAAGAATATAATTACCCTTTCAAAAGATCTTCACTTTGACGTAGTTGATAGTCCAAGTTTGGGCCATTTGCTTTGCTATTTCTGTTGGCTTAGTATTTCTTTGAACATGTGTCCTTTATAATACATTCATGCAATAAGAAATACAGCATTCCCGAAAACCCAGTACAGTATCAGTTTCTGTAGTTTGGAGGTTTCTTGCTTTCTGGTCCAAAGTTTTGTAATATCAGTTTTATGAGGTAGTCAGTTAACAACTTGCCAGAAAATAAAAGACATTCTTAAGCATAAGTCATCTTTCCAAGGTAGTTAGCTGGCACGTATCCTTTCTGCCCTTGAGCTTCAGCTAACCACCACTCTTTATTGCCACTTAGGTCACAAAACCTAAGTATGTGAACTCTCTGGTATTCCTGAAGGCTGAGTTCATGGTCACTCCGTGCTTGAAAAGCATGAACTGCATAGAAAATCTAGACAAAGAAACAAATGACATTATTGGAATTTAAACCTGAATATTAACAGAAACATCATAAGGGTTTCCAAGCTTTTAGAACTGATGCTAAAGTTTTCTTATTTTTCCAAAGTCACATTGTCCAACTCCTTCTATTGGATGTATTTGGCTAAAATATGACCCAGGTGAGAATGGAGTGAAATAGATATTCTTACTATTCTGTTAGGAGGAGTCTAAATTGTCCATGCTTGAAAGCAACTTGGCAGCTTCTATAGAAAGATTT